ACAGCTTAGACACATTGTACAATTACAAGAAACTTTCAAACTCCAAAGTACAGCAATGTTAAAAATAACTGTTGTATCAAAATGATATTATAAAGAGTAGACACTTTAAGCTTTGTAGAAAATATATACAATAATTACATATTATTATTGAATGTATTATTGTTATCATTATTATCATCATTGTTAGGAGTAGGGTTGGCTATCGTTTAGTTTTGAACGATTCCGATTCTGATTCCATTTCCTCCTTTAGATTCCGGTTCCTATCGATTCCCGATTCAGATTCTTTCAAGACATGACACGCTTTACATGAACCAGCTAACCACAGGTCCTACTTGATGAAAATAATCTTAACTTCAACATGAATTTTAATTCTATGAACAATAACATCTCCTTCATTTAGACAAAAACATGTTTTGGAGAAAAAAAGAAAAAGACTTGCAAGACAATCAGTGTGTTTGTCTCTGACCACAACCAAAGTCTGGAAGAAACCTCTGGGATGAGGCTAAATGTCTCCAACATATCCAGAAACGTCCAGCTGTTTTCAGCTAAAACTCTCAGGATGATCATGTCCAGGACAGCTGAGAACTACACCTCCATGCTGCAGCAGCATTCAGTCAGAACAGAAAGTGAAACTTAAATGTAGCTGCTGGCAGTAACAATCTAACAGATTTTAAACATTAAAACTCTCATCAGAAATAGTCCAGAAAGGAAATTTAAAATGTTCAAAACTTTGTGTGTGATTTATTATTATTATTATTTATGATTATTTATTGTGGCAGAAGCTGGTGTGGTCCACCACAGAGAAAGCTGCTCTAGCATGATGACTTTAATTATTCTACAGGTTAATATTCAACCTTCTGATGCTCTCACACACACACATACACACACACACATGAGTAATGGTGAGCGGCTGCATCTGACTGCTGACGCTCCATGCATGTTTTTATTTCTGCAGTGAGACAAACTCACCTCACACCGTCAAGAGTTTGTTCTTTAAAGCTTCTATTAAATCCACCATGTTGACGTTTTAACACGTTTCCTCTATGCTGCAGGAGTTAAAGTTTACATTACGAAGTAAAAGTTAGGCAGACGCGTTTGTTAATATCTGGGTGGGGGAGGGGGGACTCGGTGCTGCACACAGACAGCTGGTGTGATCAGCTCTGAAAAGCGCTGATCACAGTTTGCAGATCACGTTTATTTTTCACCGAGATCGGTCGCGGATTCCTGTTCCATCGGCATACTAGGAATCGTAACTAGGAATCGAAATAAAAAACTTTGAACGATTCCGGGAAAAACTAACAGTTGGTCCTGGTTCCAATCGATGCTCGATGCCCAACCCTAGGGAGTCAGACGGTTCACAAGGGAGTGTTGATGTGTTTTGGTTCGGCCTGTTCGGTTCGGTCCACTTGCATACCATTTCGGTTTATTTTTTCCGTTAAAATAATACATTTTTATTTGCGTGATTTAAGTGCAGCGGATAAACGTTCCTAGATGAGTTTCTGCACGGACGCTGTATTGAGTGACGCATGATGGCTGCACTTGCCCGATCTGCGTTTAAAAAATGTAATCTGCAAATTCTGATCAACACTTTTTAGAGTGGATGATACCAGCTGGCTGTCACTGCTACTGTGGGGTCTGTAGAGATGCTGATGGAGCGTAGCTTCGTCCCTCCCTCCCTTTGCCCCTCCTTCCCTTCTCCCCACCCTCCCTTCTCTCTCACTGTGCAGGCATGTAGAGGCACAAATGTAAACAAACATGTCTGCAAAACTTTTCCCTGTGACAACTGATGTAAAGTTCTTATCCTACAATGAAAAATATGGCACGGAGAAAGCTCTTTATTTAATACGAGTGTTAAAAAAGAAACTATGGGTGGTGTGAGGTGAGTTTTTAAGGTTCACTGCAGAAACAAAAACAGGAGCATTAACAGTCAAACACAACACTTGTCTGTATGAGCATGACACTCATAGCTGCACAAATAACCTGTCTGTATGAGCATGACACTCATAGCTGCACAAATAACCTGTGAAATAATTAAAGACATCATGCTAGATCAGCAGCCTGTGGTGACACCTGTTGCTGCTCACTACAGAAGTCACTTTAGATATTAAATAAATATATAATGTACCGAAAAGTTATCGAACCAAGCACTTCAAAACACTAAACCGAACCAAATACGATTTTAGCATACCGTTACACCCCTAATCACTGTTATTATTAAGTATGGCCATACAAGCAGCTGTCAATAAAATGGCGACAGCTCTAAACCACTAAAGCCGGTGAAATAGAGATCAATGAATACAAGACTTTCCATGACTAATTTCTTTACCAACCCAGTGAATTGATCAGCCTCCAAATGTGTTACATAATCTGATAGATAATGAGCCGTGGAATAATCACTTCCCTGAAGGTGCCTGCTGGTGTCAGGCTTTTCCTAAGCTGTGATTTATTACCAATGTCACAATTCCTCCCAAACTCAACGATAGGGATGTACATAGTTAACCAGTTAATTAGGGTAGGGTTGGGGTTGCCGTTAACGTTGTAACCGGGTAAAATACTTTTACCCAGTTAACTGCCAGCTGAGCCAACATCCTTCTGCTGTGCGTGAGTGTAATATACTTATTGCCACCAGGGGGCGTGACAGCACATCTATCAAAACCACAGAAGAACTTGTAACGTGATCAACTCAAAATTTACTCAAAAATGAAGTGGTTAGGAAAATGCAAGAGGTCCTGACAGACATTTCAGCTCTCATCCCAGTAACATTGTTTTTAGTTTATGAATGTTGTAACAAGCGTGGGACGATTCTGCGTCAGAATTATGTTAAAAGCGTTTGTATTTTTTTTAGAGAGGGAGCAAAGATTTGTTTGTATGTGTGTGTGTTTGTGAGTGCGCGCGCACGGGGGGGGTTACGATTAACCGATTATTAACCGTCTAATGGCTTAAATAACCGGTTAAACAAATTTTGGAAAACATGCATCCCTAGACAATGAGATCCAGCTGCAGACTCCTTTACAAATCTAGTTAACAAATTGAAATTACTCTAGAATAATATTATGTCTGACATTTTAAAGAATTATTACACTTTTGAAAGCAGAAAAATAACAGAATAACAGACCAAAAAACATCCATGTAAAGTTTAACTTTGGCTAAAAAAGTTCCTCAAAATAAATGAACATATAAAGAAAAGGCATAAAAGAGGAATGCTGCAGTTTACTGATGATGTCCAAGATGCTCGATCCTGCTTACTTCTTAATTACATATCAAAAATATACTTTTGTTCAGCTAGTTACATATTGTAAGCCTAAATCTGTCTCTGCCTTTACGAACGGGTACCCCTTGTGTTTTAAGTTAGCATTATGAATCATTTACACCAAGTCGGTGATCAGATTAACTTCCATGATTTTAACTTATTAACTGGAAACACAAATCGAAGATGCAGCCTTTTTGTAATTCATAAAAACACTAATAACAAAATAACTTAATTAAATTTGAATTCTCACAACACACAGGTAGAACTAAAAGTTTCTACATACACACAAACATATTTTCTTAAGTAGTTAAATCAAACAATAATTGTTTGCGTGTTCTGGTCTACCTTAGTGTTTATTGCTGAAGAGAGGAAAGGGTGATGCTACTCATGTTGTTATAAATAGCTAATGCTTTGTACGTACACACACACACACACACTCACATATAGTCACTGCATGCTGCACAGCAAGGTAATCCTGATGTGTCCTATGCCTGTTTAACCAGTTCTCTGCAGATTTAAATTTTATTTAAATTTTAATCATGTGAATTAAAATAAACCCTTAAGTCAGAGAAAAAAATAATGATACATATAGTAATATGAATGGATCCACAGACTAAAGTAGGTTTTTTTTTTTGTCTAGGTCAGACATAAACTAGAGCTGCAATTACAGACAGATAACAAGCTACAGGGGGGAAATAAGTCTCTCAAAAAGGCATGAACAAAAGGCCAGCTTCGACTATGTCTACAAAGCTCTGTAGGGATGGTTCACTTTTTAATTACTTATTTTCTTACTTATCGCCTCACATGGGGTTTCCATGAAGATCATGTCAGTAAAATAGTCCCATAGGTTTACATTAAGCTGAGAGCTGGCGACTGCAGAAACGTGTGATTCACACAATTTTTATACAAAACCCAAGCTTCATCCTTAATGGCTGGAGGAATTCTCACTCACACACACACAGCAAGGGAATGAGGGTATTTGATTTGTAACCTGAATGTATTTTGATCTTGAGCTACTCATTCACAAAACGAAAAAAACAAGACACTGGTTTATTTGTTTCATCGTGAATAAAATTAATCAGCGATATAACTTTTTAAATGCAGTTTAAAAAGACAATGTGTAGTTTTTATCATTAATCTCTGGAAATAGTCATCAAAACATTGTTGAAAATGAATAAAATGATGTCCAGTTGTTGAAAAATATTGGCAGCTTTGTACCATATAAATATCAGGTTTTAAGTACATAGGGTGCAGGTCTAGCGTCTTTGGGGGAAGCCATATTAGACGCCATGTTTTCTTCTGGCCAGCTCGGTTCCCCTAAAAAGTGGAAACTGTAATTTGTCTGAAAGAGTCTGAATAGAGTCATCATGATTTTTAAAGTAGAGTGGCATTAGGCAACAAGAGACAAATCATATCTTTTAATGAATTCAGAAAGCCTTAAGGAATGTCAAAAGTCCAGATAGTCTTGACAGGTTAAGAATAGCTTGGCCTGTCATGATCTGACTACAATAACGTTCACACAACATGATTGCAAAGCTTGGCTTGTATGACTCGTTTTGGACAGAGCTGTGTTAGGTAACTCGCCAAGAAGATAACTAGTTTACGCTGTCTCTTTCAGCTATCTCACTATTACACACCAGAGCACACCTCAGCATGAGCCTAGAAGAAAAGGAAGACCCGAAGATGAAGTCACCAACTATTAGTGTCAAGTAACCCTGAAGAGGAAAACACAGGTTTTGATGTCTCTTACCTTTCCCGTCTTGTGGTCAAACCAAACAAGGGCATGACTCCTGGACAGCACCTTGCAGTCAAAGGTGGCATTGTTCTGGGCTGGCCGACATCGAGCCACCGACCTGCCGATTTTGACCGGCTCATCCAGGTACACATGTCTCTCCTGGAATGGGTGCGAGTTGGGTCGGCAGGTGAACACAGCCAGAGCTGAAGGCATTGATTTTGGCTTAAGTGTATTACTCCAGCCAGACACAAGAGACAGGTTTTCTTGATCCAGATTTGCAGGATTTTGGTGCATTCCGCAATGAATAATCTACAATACCTATGGCCTATATACGGGCAGATTTCTAAACTGTGTAATCTTCTAGGCACTAACTGATCAGCATTGTCCACTGTACACACTCCAGATTACACAACTCCGCTCCTTTGAATCAACAAATCCTCCTGTGTTCAAAAAAACCTTAAAGTAAAAATCAAACCAACAGACATAAAAAAGACAAGACATTCCTTTCACCGACTCCCCACTAAAGCTACATAACGACACTTAAATCTGACAGCAAACACTATGTACAGACCAAGGTGCCATGTGTCAAGACATACATGACTGAGTATAGCCCTGACAGTGTGGCAAACAGCCTCTCACGTCCATCAAACTATTCAAGCAAGTGAAGCTGATAAATGAAACCAGTTAGTTGCTAAACTTGCTCTTCAGTCCTACAATGCAGCAGGAGCTCACTCCAGTTATTTGAACTACAGATCAGTCAGTCTAATGTCTACAAAAGCATGTGATCAATTTTGTGAGCTGTCACGTCTCAGCCTGCAGTGGGATAACAACAAAACCACACCAGTGTGCAACAGTCATTACTTAGTAAAGTCTGTGACATTAACGGAATATAACAAGGACCTTATTGCCCTGATACAGGGAACCTTGTGTAGGCACCTAAAGTTACCACTCCCTTCAGCAAACACCTACCAAGTCGCTAACGACACCTAAAAGACTGAAACATTGTTGGTAAATTGGGCTTGCCAACTAAAGCAATTCAGTGTCCACTTTGTCTTGATTAGCGCTTCGAAACACCGGGCCGGGTTGAATCTGGGATTAGCAGGTCGTCTTGTAGAACTAAGATGCTAATTGAAGCATACGTCTCGGCCAACGTTCTCTGGCGTTGGACCAGCAGGCTAGGCTAGGCTAGTGAGTGCTGATAAAGTTATCATTTAAGTCCTCAAATGTTATCTCTTCGCCCTTCTCAATCAGTTCGCTTACCGAGTGGAAGCGATATCCCATATTTGTCTTAAGTAGTGAATAAAACCAGCTACCTATCACGTCTTTGACTACAACAGAGACCCGAAGGCAAACGATAGCATAAAGGTGAGCTAACTAGCAGCTAGCCGGCTAACTGACAGTCAGCGGAGGGAGACGCGGAAAAATCTGTTGAGTTTCTGGACTGCGGCTCTCCGCGCATCACACCAACACGAATATCTGTCCGGGAACACCTTAATGAAGGCCACCAGTTGTGATGTCGTCGTCTATCATAGTCCAAGTCGTGTTTGCCAAGGTCGTTGTGTTTTATAGCTGTCGCCTTTCAGCAGCTTTATGGAAAGAAGACAGAAGAAGTTGTCCTCCTCCGCAAGTCTCGACCGCCATACTGAAACTGGAGAGCAGACAGGCGTGGTGCGTTCACTGCCCCAGTCACATCAACTGGAAAGCAGACCGGCGTGGTGCATTTTTTGATAAATCTGATAATTTGATTTTAAAATTTCGACTGGTAAAATGAAGACTATTAGCCTGGCAAGCCAGACTAAATAAATGTATTATTTACTTTACATTTACTTTATTATTAGTTTACAAACTTTGCAAAGCAAGAATTTGGTCTAGTTCACTAGGCTAGAAGACTATGTCTTTGACACTTTGTAGTTTCCAACATGCTTAATGTTTTTGCTACCTAATACCAACAACAACTTCATGTATTTGCAGACTGTGCAGTGTGTCCTTTTTTTAATAAAACAGAAAAAAGGTGCAAAAGAAACATATAAAAATACTAAAAAATATATATCTACATGTGAAGAGAGTGAAATTGAAATAAATATATATCAAAATCAGTCAATCCTTTTTGTTCATATAGCTCTTTTTCAGTTTTGTCTGTTACTTGTAGACATAACACTAATTCATGTGTAAGGTACATTTTCATTCTTGATTTCCAGAGTACTGCTAGCTGGCTTAGTGTGTGAATGTGTGTGTGCGTGGATGAGTGATTCACTGTAGTGTAAAGCACTTTAGAGTCCTCTGACTCAGAAAGGCACCGTACAAGTGCAGGTAATTTATCATTTATTAAACAAAGCCCTTCTCAGAAAATAGTTTGGTCCAAATATTTAACTGGGCATACTTGGCATAGTTATCTGATCTCCACAGAAAACCAGTGAAAGACCTAAATGCCTGAATGCATGTTTTATTGGAAACACACATTCTTGAGACTTTCAATATATATATATACATTCAATTTTGCTTAAAACACTCATCATTCAGTCACAATCTTTTGCAGGAAAAAATTCAAGGTGAAATTTAGAACACAACTCCAGACACCACTGCCTCACTATTTATAGTCTTTTCACAAAAAGCTAAAATTGCAAATACTTTAGTGTGCTTTATTCAGTTGACTTTATAGACTAGAGCAACTTAGAGGTGGATGAAGTGATGGAAGGCGTGATTAAATTCTGCCTGTTGTTTGAGAAATGTTCCAGTTTTCTGGAGAGCCGACAACTGAGACTAAATCAATGCTGCTAGGGACATCACAAAGTATTGCTGAGGTTCACTTGTTTCCTCCCCTTCTGGTCAGCTCATGGGTCCCCAGGGCAAAGAAAAAATGAATGCGTGTGAACGGGGCTGTATAAGCTTCTTATCTGCTTTGCTAGTTGTACTCCAATTTTAATGAAATATAATTATGTGTGTTTCAAATACGTCTGTCACATAATTTGAGATTTATTAGCTTGAAAAAAATTGTAATTAAAATGACTACAAATCAGCCGTTGCATATATGACATCACCACAGAGTCTGCTCCCCCCAACATAGCTGCTTGTTACCACGTGGCCAGATTTACAGTGGTTTTATCAACATTTAATGCCCCTTCTTTCATCCTGGAAGATGGATGCAAAGCTTGCTAAACTCACTGTCATTTTTGTTCTCTTCTTTGTGTCTGATTCGATGGCATAAATTTGGTGAGACAAGCATTTGTAGACCACTACGTCATGTCACACAGAACCTAAAATACCTTTTGCCCCTGTTTGAAAATAAGTGATTTCTTGACATCAAAATGTGTCTTTAAAATCACGCACATCACATGTGGCACATATGAGACAGGATAAGAAAATAACTTTTATCAGCTCATAGACTCTCATTCATTCTTTATTGGCAGTAGGAGACCCATGGAAGTAGATGGGCATAGCTTGGGCGGAACACGGCAGAACTCCATCAGGCTTGTGTAATGTAAATTGTAAAAAAAAAAATACATCTGCATATTATTTTTTCTGTCATTATAACGCCTGTAACGACACACTTTGCTTTAAATTAATGACAAAAAATATGCTGTAATCTTTCAAAACACCCTTTACTAAGATTAATAAATACGATTACATTAAGAGGGTGTTGGCAGATCTAAGATTGATATAAGATATCAGCTTGCTCCATAAATTCCACGAATGAAGGGTGAAAGATGAGTGGAGCAACTGTAAGAATGAAAAACAAACCAGATTTCACTCTTTGAGGTCTTTCATTTTTATTGTAACGTGTTCCAAGTGGAGGTCATAGCACAGACCCTGGTTCGTCTCAACCATCGACGGTCTCAACAGGCCTTCTCAGCCCTCCTGCAGAGCAAGCAGGAGACCAGCTGTCACTATACTCACAGTCTAAACATTAATGGAGCTTTAACAGCATTATTGTGTTTGGTATTACTAATTCTGGTTAGCAGACGCTTACAAAGCACTAACAACTTACTTAATGTGTGTAATAATTTTTTTTCCTTTAGGTGACATTTTTGCACTATTGTCTGATTGGTTAAACAATAGATTCATACTTTTTTCAAATGAGCTCATGCACTCTGCGTAATTTCTGTTTATTAATTTATAATTGCAACGGCACAGCATTATTTGATGTTTATTTTCAGTTTTAAAGGATAAAAAGATAAATTCCTCACTAATACACGTTCATCCTGTGATAATTATTTATCCAATACAGCATTTGTAAAGATGCAGTTAATTTATTTGTTATCTTTGCTACTTTTATGTCAAGACCAGTAGACTATGTGTGTGTGTTTCCTCACAGTTTTGATTCTTAGTTTGGCAAATCCATCTGTGTGCTCAGTAAAGAAGCTATTAAAGGATTTAGATAAAGCTGATTTACTTCTTTGGTCCTCCTAACTCAGACTGACATTGAGAATACAACTGAAAAAAAGAGTAATTCAATTATGGAACAATTAGATTTGAAAATGAGCAATGTAGATCCAGCAGAGAAACAAAGTAAATTTAGCTTTATAACCACAAACTCTATCTAAACGAGACAGTTGAAATAACAACAAATAATCTGCCAAATCTGATTTACAGATAATACAAAGGCGACTGTACTACTACGTTAAAAATCCAGCAAGCTTTTTTCAGTCAAGTTTTTGCCTGTGTATTCACCTCTAGTGTGCCCCAGGGCAGCTGTGGCTACAGTGTAGCTTATCACCACCAGAGTGTGAATGTTTGTGTGAATGACTGTTGTAAAGCGTCTTAGGGGGTTCCAGGACTCTAGAAGGTGCTATCATAGATATGTATTTAAACCATATAAACATGTGTTTATATACATTTCTATGGGCGCTATATCAAATACAGGCCAACTTTTTGAGAAATATTATTGAAACTAAACCACCCAGGAAACATCAATAGATATTAATAAACAGATACAACGTTAAGACAAAGTGCTTGATTTTACACATCACCAACATTTTTATTGAAATGTTTATTTCAGACAGATTTCAAACATTTAACTCAGGCACAATCATGGGCACGATTACGTCAATACGTCATGACGTTTGACGTTTCTCAACAAAACGTCCGTACGCTGCAATTCAGATGCTAAATGCTAGCCTTATAACTAGTTTCTGTTGTGCGGCTTTCTCTCTGTTGCTGTTATTGTTGATGGGACAGTAATTAGACCTAAACTTACCCAGACCCCCATTAACATTCTTCAGAGCAGCTTTGTGTCTGTGTCGGGCCGTAGCCATGGCTCTGCAAGGCCCGGAGGAGGTGGGGGAGCAGGTTGAAGAGCCAGAGGATCTGGACGATCAAGATGCTAGTAGCATCTCCCCGGCCGAAGAGATAACTCTTCCCCCTGGGGCTGGCGGCGACGAAGAGTCGGAGGAGACTTTCTTATTGCCGTGGGACCGCTTTTCCTCATGGCTGCACTGCATCTGTGTGGTCGGGTTTGACCTGGAGCTTGGGCAGGCTGTAGAGGTAAGGCAGAGGAGTCCACGGGTCGTGTAACATTTACTGAGGCTACAAATGTGAAATTTAACAGTTGTTTAGGCTCAGACTATGTCCTGGACAGTCGTACACAAACTCCCATCTCTTTTGCTTTGGCTTTGTTCACATTTGCACTCACATCAGCTAAAGGTTCTTATACTAACACTCGAAAATAGACAATGAGTTTGACAGAGGTTTTGAAAGCTGACGTTCCTGTAGTTTGCCTGATCCTTCAAACACTTTGTTTTTAATTTGACACGATTCATGAGTTATTGTTCCAAGCTCATCACAATTTTAGTGGTTTTGTCAGCACTTAAACCTTATCAAGACTAATCTAAACAAGAGTTTTTATATTTTTATTGTACATACTAAATTGTCAGAACAAACACTTGTGCCAAAGGTTTATAAACTCGTAATAGGTGTTCAAAATAATATTTAATATACATTGTTAATATAATTTTATCAAGCAAGCTGGATCTGGTCGTGTAAAAGTTATTACTCAAAATTATCCACCTTATTCAGTGAATTAAGCTACACAAATCGACTAAAATCCCACCGAGCAGAACTTGATGTTTCAATGAAAAATATATTTACTGAAAGAAATGTCATTTTAAAGCTCTTTTATTTGATGCACATGCTGGTAAATGTTGGTACTGAAACTTTTCCTTTTTTCTTTATTTAAAAAAAAATCAAATTTCAGTCATTTATTTTGTCTTCCAGGTCATTTATCCTCATCATTCAAAATTGTCTGAGAAAGAGGTGAGTTATTTAATTGTGTTGGGTATTTTTATTAAAATATTAAAATAAACAAAAAGTGAATGTGTGTGTGTGTGTGTGTGTGTGTGTGTGTGTGTGTGTGTGTATAAAGGCAAAAGTGAATATTTTGAATATTATAGAATAATTTTTTTATAACATAATGTATAAACAAGTCCTGTAAATAATGTACAAAGTTGCATAGAAACCACATGTCTGTGAATTGTGTGAAGTCATTGTTATTTTGAACAGGCATGCTAAAAAAGGAAAGTTTTTTTTATTTTTTTATTTTAGAAAACAAGCATCTGCTACCTTTCTTTCCCAGACTCCAACTCAGGTGAGTTATAGAAAGATGCATTTAGGTTCCACTGCATGTCTGTTTAACTATTTCCCACATGCACTAATCCTTTTAACAGACTAGGCAACACAAGCCCAAGCAGTTATAGTGATAATTTCTAAATGCATTTATTCCTGTGGTCCTGGGTTTATCTTGGTTTCAACTTTTAAAGATGTACTGCTTTTTTTTCTCCCCTTAATTCGTTGGTCTTGGATTTTATTGTGGATTTTGGTCTTTCTCCAGACACTTTGCTTTTGGTCTGAACTTGGTCATGGCCATGATTATGACACTACCTGACTCATTTTTCACTCTGTACAGTATTTTCTGTTGGAGAGTCTCTAAACGACAACAATTTATTAATAGATGGGGGCGCTAGTTTGAATTTAGCTGTTTTAAACATTTCTCTTGTGTATTGCTCCACGCAGCGTGACAGCTTGTGGAGGAAGTGTTCCTGCTGCATCGTTTGCTAGTGAGTCAGGAAATTAAAAAAAAATTAGTTTTGTTAAAGAAATTGAAATCAACTTATTATAATGACAAAAAAAAGTTATCTTGTCCTAATTTGACCAATTTTTACATAAAAATAAAAACATACCAATAATCAAAAATGAATTTTTGCTATTAAAAATGTTTAAAAATGTTTTTAATGCCTTTGTGGTTCTGATGGAATCTTTTTCAAATGTATAAATGAGGTTCTAATTTAGTTCCTGTTAAGAATTGGGTCTTGGTGTATAAAACTCGACCCCTTGAAGTTGTTAACATCTTTAAAATAAATACCTGACAGAAAAGGCATGGACTGTTTGATTAACACTCAGAGATGTGCAAACCCTGCTGTGGGATCAGGTGTGAATCCAGAGTGTTAGTTTGCCTTCAGGTGTGTATTTTTGTTAGCTGTGAGTCAGCATGTGGAGAGGATGAGGAACTTGCTGCTTTCAGTAGGAAGACAGGATTAGGACCAAATTCTTTTCAGTGCTGCTATATTTATAAGATTTACTGTAGGCGTGCGTCAGAAAGAGAGCTTGAACTGCAGAGCCGCAGCTCGCTTCCTGGTTTGGTGTCTCCTAAAATGTAGTCTCACATCTTTAATAAGAGTTGGCATATTTTCCTTTAATCAGCTTTCAGAGTTTTTAAAGGAACAGTGACACATGATTTGTTGTATTGGATTTACTCTCTTTAAGTGAATCTGTCACTGTGCCATCTTGGTGCTGGTTCTTTATGCTGAGGCTGTTTGAATTAGAAGCAGGAATACTTTAGTAGCTTAGCTCAGACTTTTATCTAGACAAGAAATTTGTTTGATTTATTTTGTAGAAAACTTTGGTAAACCAATATTCTACCTGCACATGGTTTTGTTTGGTCTTGTTGGAGACCAGATCAGTGGGAAAAGAACAAATTCTAGACTTTCTGAAGATTTCATAAGTAAATACAGATAAAAGCAGTTTCACAATCTTCTTCTTCTTCTAACTACACTCAGTAAACTGATATTTAGTCAAATAAATAATCCCAAACTAGACACCATAATTCAATTAAATTTTCTGTAGTTGAACCAAAAGCAAAACTTATCTCCTCGTTGTGCGTTCGTGTTTTTAACACCTTAATCGAACAGCTGAAATATCTCCCCAGCCTTCCTTAGTTTCCACAGGAGTGATTTATCACCATATTAAAAAAAATCAGCTGTGTTTATGACCTAAAACGTGCTGGAAGCAGACTGCAGCGCCAGGTATGCCAGCTCAATTTTTTCAACAGTGACCGGATCGGCACTCTGAAGTTGCAAGTCCCACAATCTGGCCAGAGTGGGTAGTGTGGGTCTGTAAAAGGTCATTTTAGCACATGCTGACTCAAGAAAAGGATTAAAAAATATGAAATATTTGCCTAGCATCCCTTTAAGGGATAATTATGAAACAGGATTCTATTTTAAGTAACTATTGAACAAATGCCAAAAACATACAGGTAAAGAAAAAGTTATACAAACAGCCAGGGGTGGCAATTATCTACACACAGAAAAGCACAAGTATCAAACATTTTGGGAGCTGTTTAGTTGATGTTAGTGCCGAGCTGGTTAAACGATGGGACAAAATGTAGTTTGTCGTAGTAGAGATTCAGTAGTGTAGTAGTTCTCAATTATTTAGTGTCACGCCCTCTTAGGAAACATTTATTATTTCCTTCAATTTATTTTATTTTTTTGTAACATCTTCTGCCATTGGGGTCATAGGTAAGGTTTAAAAGTGACATCATTATTTTTAAAAGCTTAATTTCTAAAGAATATCTGCATAAAAGGCAAAGCTAAGATACAATGAGCCTAATAACAACCTGATTATCAGGCTGCCTCCACTTCTGAGTTGGACCTCCATTTATAGTTTATAATCATTCCTGTTTGCAGACAAGCACATGACCTCCTTGGTGGAGCTAATTAGTTGAAACCATAGACCGGCAGAACTGCATAAAATATTTATGTAGTCATCTGATGTCAGATATTCACCTAATGAGGAGGTCCCCACAGGTGTAACACCACCGGTAAAGAGCTCTGACTCAGAAACATCTTTTCTCCATAGATGATAAAAAGTGTTCAACTATTCTAATCACACATTTAGTTGGTCATTTCTCTTAAAATCATCGTCGATAGCTTTGTTTTTTGATCAGTCTCTTTAGGATTGAGGTAAAAATGGCACCATGACTGAGTCAGTCGGGGTTATTGTGCTGTTACATCGCCCCGTAGCACCAGTCAGCTGATTCTTTTATGTCTGTTGTTTTGCTGTTTTCAGTTTTCCATTCAAACATTCCGATTCAAACGTCTTAAAAACTACTTTATGGTTCCTAGCTGAATGATCTGTTTGATAACTTCGGTGGTTTGACTCTTTATCGGCTCATTCTCCAGTTTGCACATGAATTTTGAAGAAATCTGATGTTCATCAAGACCACATTAATGTTTCTCACACACACATTTTGGGTAAAATTTAAAGAAAACACGCAATAGCTGAGTGATTAAAATGATGATAAATCAGTTTAAACAAAAAATACCAAAGCTTCAGTTTAGGGTGATGTCATGGAGTTTTGGATGTAACCGTGTGTGTGTGTGTGTGTGTGTGTGTGTGTGTGTGTGTGTGTGTGTGTGTGTGTGTGTGTGTGTGTGTGTGTGTGTGTGTGTGTGTGTGTGTGTGTGTGTGTGTGTGTGTGTCTGGCTGAGTGGGCTCATGTTTATTTTCGGAGCATGTTAACTCTGATTATCAGTGTCTTGTTTATCCTCTCACTCTCACTTCATCCGCCTTGGGGATGAACAAAGATTGCATCGAGGTTAAATACCGGACTATGAGTCATTGTGCACCATTTTCCTTTTTCCCCTTCCTGTTAGTGCAAAGACCAGGAACCCTTAACACCAGGAAGAAACACATTAACACCCACAAACACCTACTTTCTGTTTTAAGACGTGTTTACTGATTTTATTTTTAACTCTTTAAACCCAGGTGAGCTCTTTAAAAGGCTAACCATCGCTGTGATTTGTTTCTAGGTTGCCTTGGTGACACACAGTTCTGTTTCCGCTTTCGTCAAGGTTCAAACAGGAAGTCATCACTGGGTTGTTTCCTGGAAACCACTGATAGAGACGCACCACCATGTTTGAAGGTTGGTAAACATGTAAACACAGATTTCTAGAAACATAAACTCTGCTCCCGTTTCCTGGTCTAAAGTGAGATGTTCTCCCCGTGTGTCTGGGTGTTTAATGAACCTTCTGCTGCAGTGATAACTTGGTCTGACTCTGATTTTGTGACTGTGTTGCAGCGGGAACAAGGTCATTACTACGGTTACGTGTACTTCCGTCAGGTGCGGGATAAATCCCTGAAGAGAGGATACTTTCAGAAGGTCAGTGATGAGCTGCAGCCCAAGAGAAACGCCCCTGCCTCAACTTCGAGCCTTTTATTTATCTGACAAACCCAATCACATATTTTATATTATATTTGGTACAAATTCTGATTAGTCGCTTTTGTGTTTTGGCCTGAGTTTATATGATACTTTGTCATTTAAAATGAAAAGGAAATTGCAGATTTAACAGCTTTGAAAATGTGGAATTTGCAGTTCTTGGAGCTTTTTCAGGTTAAATGAATCTGTTAGTAGAAGGTATTTGATGAGAAGTGAACAAGAATAATTACTGGAGAGTTACCGAGAAATGTGTTACTGTAACCAAACAATGTTTTGAAAGCACATTTTTAGACTAAACAATGGTTTAAAATTGATTTAGGAACTCGTTAATGTGTCACAGTTGTTTGTTTCTGCTGATGAGTGTTGTTTTATTAAAGGAGTGCAGGAATTCTCCTTAAAGAGCAAGTCACCCCCTACCAAAGTCTTACTCCACTCCCACTTCCGGTTTGAAAAATGCAACAAATGTTGTTGCCTGGCAGAATCAGAGGGCAAAGTCGCTAACAAATACACACACAGGCTCACAACAACATTGTGACATTATAATGTACCAGCTAACGTCATTGTGTGCCTCTTAGCCAATAGCAATGGCAGATTTAAGTTCAAATGTAGTGCAGAGTTTTTACCTGAAGACGGTGCAACACCAACAGTTTTAGGCAGAATATTTAAATTTTAACTAAGATGCACTAAAGTGTCAAATTATTGACCACACGTGTCTACAGCATGATTACGCCTGGGGCGCACCGGAGGCAGTCGTGCCGCGCCGCGATTTTAAATAGAAGCCATTATAGTTAATAAGAGTGGGCACACAGGGAGCGCCGCGTCCCAGAAGCACCATGCAGAGGCGCTGAAAATAGACGTCAGCGGAATGGCTTTACGGCACAAACCCAACCACAGTTTTGATAACTTTAAAGTACTATTGATCTTAAAATATTCAAATAAATAGCGTACTTACCCACTGTTAATGAATTAGAGTCTGAGAAAACACAACGGCTAGTCTGATCACATATAAACAATAGTCACTTCTCGCTTCTTGTTCTCAAATCCTGCATGATGTTGTGACTATCCCGTGACTTTCCAAGAAGCGCTCAGCGGCGCAGGCCTTCCTGTGTGACCACTTAACGGTGTGCCCCAGGCTTTAGACGCATATATATAGTTTTTCAGCAACAAAGAAAGTTGATTTGGGGGTGACTTGCTCTTTAAACTGATGTTCTCCTGGTCTTGTTGTGTTTGGATCTTTGTTCCAGTCTCTGGTTCTGATCAGTAAGTTGCCCTATGTGACCTTCTTCCACTCGGTGTTGAAGATCTTGGCTCCAGAATACTTTGAGAAACAGGAACCGTGCCTGGAAGCAGGTCAGTCTGACTTCCTTTCTATTCAAAATTTGGTTTCTATTTAAAAGCTAGATTTTGTAACAAAAATGTGCCTAATGTTGTAGATTCAGACATTTTATTCTCTTCATACATGTTTCCAATCAAAAGAAACAGCAACAACTTACGTGTTTTAGATGTAATAAAGTCCCATTTCTAGCCTCAGAGAGCAGCCATAGGCTTCCCTCCGAGGGAGCTGTTATAAAATTATAAAAATAATCCCTGCTGCTTCAGTGGAAGTTGGCTTTAATTTGTGCTGAGTCAGGTTTACTGCTATGTCTTACCTAAGCACAAATGAGAGTTTCCTTTTCTCTTGTTGGAGTTGTAGTTAAACCTTGTTCAACGGTTCGGCACAACATCTCCGTCAGGAGCATCCAGCCTTTGAGAGGCTGAGAGCCACTTCATGGCTACTGAGCCATACGAAGGGCTGCCAGCTTGATACAATACTGACCTTTGAACTGAAATGGATCAGAGTTAAACTAACTTCATGTATAACAAACATATATTGTTTTTTTTAAAGAAAATTTTACTTTTTAAATATATATTTGTGACCAGGTTGGTAACCCCTGGTCTATGCCCTAACTTTTTAAAATCTGAAGATCAAATTGTGTCCATCCCACCAGGGAAATTAGAGATTTTATCTCAGGGCTGTTTTGTTTGTGTACAAATCGTGTTCCTAATAAACTGGCAGCTGAGGATGAGGAAACATTCTCTTATTTGGACTTTTTATTCTTATATCTGTTTTTTTAACAGCTTGTAATGACATCGACCGCTGGCCAACGCCTCATCCTGGACGAATCCTCACTCTGCCTTTAATGGGAGTCGTCATCAAGGTACTCGAGGAGGAAATCACACATGTTTGTGGTGTTTTTGTTCTGTTTTACAGCTCAATGAAACCTTTTCGTGTCTGAAACTTTGTTACTTTGGATCTGACAGAAGTCAGCTGACTGGGCTTTCAGTGACAACTGGAAGCAGAAATCACGCCAGTGTTTTGATTTTATTATCTAAAATGTTTTAATGTGCTGCAGGTTCGAATCCCAACCTGTTACGATAAACCAGGAACCTCCCAGCTGGTCCAGTCTGCCCAGGTATGTAAACACCAAGAAGGTCACAACATTTGGTGCATTTATGATATCTGTGAAAACGTGTATCTGTTGGTTTTCAGAGCGACAGCCTTGTGTCCATCGTCCTCCCAACGATCCACGAAGTTGACCTCTTCAGGTGAGATGAAAAGCTGCAGTGTGAGTCTCTATGTCTCCGTCTGCTGTCTGGTGTGGGAACTGCACCTGAATGAGGCATTATTAAAAAATGTTATACAAAAACACAAAGTTAGGGCTAGAGTAAAAAGTTTACTCTTATTTTGGTAATAAATGAACATTTCTGTATTTAGGCTGAACACAAACAGCATCCTGCTGACATTTAGGTTCATTTTTATTCTCCAGTTAAGTAAGACCAGAAAAGACCTTTAAGACAAACAAATAGAAATAATAAGTAATTTTTTTTAGAGAAATGCTTTTTGGGAAAATAAAATCCTTATTTAGAAACAAAAAAAGTAAGAAATCTCAATGACCCAGAAGATCTTCTGTGTCTGAGCTGTTTGTTAAAAGAATTAAGGTGGGCAAATAATTTCTATGGACTGGGTGGTGGGGGGATAATGATGTGCATAAAATAACCTGTATTCATGACACGCAACATGTATTTTGTACTTTATTTGCATTTAAGACACTTGGTGATTTCATTAATTTCAGTAATTTTCAAAATAAAACACCCTGCAGTGAAGAGCCATGAAAATAGAAAAAGTGGTATTTAATTTTTTTTTCTGTGTGGCTTCACATATCGATTACTGGTTCATGTGGTTAAGGTCTTCTTTCTAACGGACATCATGATAAATGTTTTAGCATTTTAACGTTGACTCATGTTCTCCCCAACCTCCTCCAGATGTTTCCATCCAGTTTACTTCCACATCCAGATGCTTTGGGAGTTGGTGCTGTTAGGGGAGGCACTTGTTGTCATGGCACCATCTCCTGCTGAGTCTTCAGACACTGTGCTGGCGCTGGTCAGGTGAGTCAAAGCAGCAGCAGCAGCAGCTCAGGATTCCAGAACTGCCTAGAGGCTTAAATCTGTTTTTTACAGCTCGACGTGTTGCAGCAAAGCTAGAAACATGACATAAATATTTTAGAATGAAGATTATTTAAACCAACAAAACCCCTGAAGATGTGATGTTCTTCTCTGCGTCTGCAGCTGCATCTCTCCTCTGCGTTACTGCAGCGACTTCAGGCCGTACTTCACCATCCATGACAGCGAATTTAAAGAGTACACAACCAGAACGCAGGCTCCGTGAGTACAAATGAGCTGACACAGTTCTTACTACTATTCCAGAAGAGGCACTCTGTGTCCGTATATTCTGGTTTTTATTTTAAAACATTAAATGACTGATTAAAGCTGACTAGTTTGTTTATCTGCAGGCCGTCAGTCATTCTGGGAGTGACCAATCCCTTCTTTGCTAAAACTCTCCAGCACTGGCCGCACATCATTCGCATCGGAGACATGAAGCAAGCAGGTAGACAGCATCGTTCACCTCAGAATACTAAGATAGAATACTATTTGGATCTTTTCAATTTGTAAAGTTAACTCTTAAGACAAACACTTTATGTGTCCAAAAGGAAAATAACAACCAATATTAGATCCTATTTATATTTGTAGGTTTAATTATTTTAGAACATTTTCGAAAACACTGAATAAAATGTTTGTTCCTCCCAGGAGAGATGGCAAAGCAGATGAAGGTCAAGAAACTAAAAAACCTTAAAACTCTGGACTCTAAACCTGGTAAATATCTCAGTTTTTATTCCGCATTTGTTTTTTAATACATGTAATTTTACTGTTTTTATCTCATGGGCCCAAACTAGTCTGTGATGTTCTACAAGGTTCTGTTTTAGAACCTTATGAAGAGAAAACTGTGGTCCTCATTTGTTCTCTGTAGTTTGGTTCCTCTGAATAATTTGGTTAATTTGTAGTTTCTTTCCCTGGTTTGGTTTATTTATCACTACAACCAGGTGAGCAGGTTTAATCTTCTGATTGGTCAGTTTGTCTAGGGGTGGGGCTACCAGTAAGAAGTAAATACAGGAAGAAGGTTGTATGTTGTGATCCTGAGCTACATGACAACAAGCTCTAACCCCCTCCACCTGAGTCATCTCACTCACTTTTACTTCCTGAAACAGGAGTGCCAGAGCAACCCCCCACCCCCCACCCCCCCCAATAATACTAGAGACTAGGGATGTTCCAAACACACTTTTTTGCTCCCGATGCAAGTATGCTTTGCTGTTTGGTTGTATAGACATTTAGCTTACCTGAGGAGACACATTAGCTCTGCGTTAGCCTACTAGCTAACAGTTGCATGTTATGGCGTCTGAATCCCTGCCAGCTGTACATTGTGTGATGTAATGGTGTTGTTTTCTTCCAATATACAAAGAATAATGATGTAGAGCAACCTGTTGATATACAAAGAATAATGATGTAGAGCAACCTGTTGAGATCAAAACTAAGCCATAGTTGTTCCATTTGAAAATCTCAATCTCAGGATGAATTTACAAACTAATATTTGTTATTTTATAAAGTTAAATCTGATCTTTTTCACCCGATTCAGATGTTTTTTTTAAAGACGTGATCGGATTAGAGCATCCCTATTAGAGACCATTGTGAATGTGTTGGGGGAAAAATGAGTGAACTTGGTCTTTAATGTTCACTGGCTTCCTGCCATGTTCAGTCTCCACTTAAAGAGTACAGAGCTTTGGTTTTGGTCAGGATCTGCTAACAGAGCAGCTAAAACTCTTGTGAATGAGTCCTTTTTGGTTTGAATGTTTTCTTTTTAAATTGTGTTGCTGTCAAAAGCTCTTTGTTTTTTAACCATGACGCACAACCCCTACATGTATCTGATAGAAGACTCAGTCAAGCCATCACACACCTCAGCTTCTGTAACTGTACTGTGTGTGTATTTTTACAGGTGTGTACACGGCTTACAAGCCATATCTAAACAAAGATGAAGAAATCATCAAACAGCTCCAGAAGGTAAGATCAGGGCTTTCCCTCTTGTCTCCAGCTTGTTTTTACTTGTTTAAAGCACCGCTGGCTGGAATGATTCAAACACAAAAGGAAATTTTTCTGCTTGTAAAACTGACTTTAATGTTTCTGCTTTGAACATTTGAATGGTTTATCTTCTGTTTTTATTTCAGGGTATTCAGCAGAAGAGACCCTCGGCGGCCCAGAATGCAATAATTCGGCGCTACTTCTTGGAGCTCACTCAGAGCTTCATCATTCCACTGGTAACAACTCAGGAGTTTATTCAAAATGCTGCTCAAAAATCTTTTGGTCGACGAATTCAGATCGATAAACTAACGGAAGTTTATTGCTGCCACCCTTTCAGAATAAAGACCAGCCATGTCACATTATATCTGGATTTTATTTTGAAAGGTTGGCAGCAATATGCTTCAGTACAAACCTGTGAAGTATTTTTTCGAATCATTTAAATCTCAAACCAACTACTGGTTGCTTTTATATTTTTCGGACATCCTGATGAGTCTGTGCTCTTTACAGGAACGATACGTCGCCAGTCTGATGCCGCTCCAGAAGTCCATCAGTCCCTGGAAGAGTCCTCCTCAGCTCCGGCCGTTCAACCAGCTGGACTTCATGAAAACTTTAGAGAAGACGGGACCTCAGCTCACATCCCGACTGAAGGGAGACTGGATAGGTCTCTACAGGTATGAGCTCAGTCTGGAGCCGATCTCTCCCCCTAATTCGTCCTCTGATGCTCTTAAGCTTCATGAGAAGAAATGACACTTTACACACCTTAAAGAGCTGCGTGGTCCAACCTCCTGTCTGGGTTTCAGGCATTTCCTCAAGTCTCCCAATTTTGACGGCTGGTTCCGTAGCAGGAGAAGAGAAATGACTCAGAAACTGGACGCTTTGCATCTCGAGGCTCTGTGTGAGGAGGTGAGGAAGAGGAGGAAGTGTGGCGATCAGCAAACTTCACCTCTGAGGGATAAACCCTTTCATAGGATTTATAGAGCTTTTCTCTTGTTTCCACCCCTGGGTCAAAGCCCCTCAGTGGAAGGGAGATCATGTTTTAAAACAACTTATTTTCTCTCTGAACAGAAAAATGAGAAAGCCTTGCTGCTTTTTCTTTTCTTTACTCTGTTTATTTTACTGCAGGATCTTCAGCAGAGAATCCAGAAGCACACGGAGGTGGAGGCTGTTGATCTGGTTCTGAAGCTGAAAGATAAAATGGTCAGTAAAAACAGCCGGTTTCTCATGGCTAAGCAGCACTTTACTGCTAGTGCTGCTGTTTTCTTCTGACTCTTGTTTTGTCAATGTGACGGCTGAAGCCTGGAGGCTTTGCCGTGATAACGTTTCCCGTTTTTGTCCTGCAGACTCAGGCGGAGAGGGAGCAGCTCCCAGTTCGCCCAGGAACCCTGTCCAAGCTCAGAGCCCACATCGAAGCGGTGATCCTAGCCTTACCAGAAGACCTGCAGGGAATCCTTCACACGCCCTCCACACCGTGATCTTTAATCCTGCAGTCTGCAAAGATAACCTCTGCTTGAGCTAGCTTGGATGGGGATGCTCTTCTAGTTAACGGAGTGACTGGGTCCCGGTCTGAGGGCTGCTCGAGTCTAAAGAGAAGAGCAACTGGATACCTGCTGTAGCAGCTGTGTGGGATTGGTCTAAACGCTGGCGTCGTAGCGATCACGTGGTGATGAAGGGAACAGCTGGAATAGAGCAGACCTATCGGAACAAATCCTCTGCCAAGGTTACCTGTTAGCAGAAAAGGGCAGCTAAATGACCCTGCTGACCTTTGACCTTCTACATTTTTATTGAGACTTAATTTTTTTTGTTTTTAACAATGCTGGGCTGCAGCAGACTGGTGGAAATGAATTAAGTTTTCATTTATACTAAAGACGGGTTTTAAACAAGTGCACTTCATCCCTACCTGGACCGGCGTGCCCATCTCTCTCACACACACACACACACACACACTTTTTATGCAAGCAAACTGTATGGAGCAGAGCCAAGCAGTGCATTATATTTACATTTAACACACTTGGAGCATTAACCACCAGCAACCCAACAAGCTAAAGGGTCACTTCCTGTATTACGTATCTGCTAAACTAATCAGGTTCAATTCAAAAATACTTTATTAATCCCAGAGGGAAATTCAATTCACCGATCCTGAATCGAGTTGAGGTTTATACGACTTGTATTTGTTTCTGTCTGAAAACTGAATTTGTGTTTTTAATGTTTAAAAAAAGCTAATTTAAGGGTTTATCTGTGAAACTCTAAAGGCGTTCGTCATGTTTTAGCGAGAAAAGAGGAAAAATATGTTAGAACATGATGTGACTTTATAAAATAGGAAGGAATACATTTTAGTTTTTAAAGATTTAACATGAGAATGTTTAACTATAAAATGTTCATGAAAGGATCTGAGAAGCAATAAGATTTAAAATGTGTAAGAATTTATTACTGATGATGAAATCCTGTCTGATAATCTGTATAATTAGCTTTTAATTAGATAATTTCTTTTCTTATTTTAAAGCTGTTTGCAATAATTCTTCCCTCTCAGCTGGAGTATTTCGACCAACCAGCAGGTAAAAAAAATCCCTCAAAGTATTTATGAAGTAATCAGGTCTTCAAAGCTTCTTGATGTTCAAATTAAGATTCATAAAAGGTAATCACTTGCTGCTCTTTTCCAGATCCTGTAAATCTGAATGATGTAAACTCCTGGATTATTAATAAAATTGTTCTAGATGTAAAATCCTTTCATCCTGATGTTTCAAACACAAATAATCAGTTTTAAAAAGAGCCTCGGAGTCTCTTATAAAGGGAGAGGTCCAGCAGGAGACCAGTGGTGTTTTTATACTTTAATAGTTCATGATTATTTACTAAAACCCAACTGTCCTGGTGCCTTAGAAAGTCAAACCAAAGACCCGACTGTCTCCGGTAGGAATTACAACATTCTCAGCTTTTATTCTGAAAATACACCCACGTTTCTCCTGAGCCTCTTACAATCAAATGAAGCGTATTCTAGATTTAGATGGAGGCCTAGATTTATTATCTAATGAGACAAATGAACTAAGTCAAGTGAAGACGTCAAAGGGAGGATGAGCACATAAACGTAAACCTGTGTCTGTTTAAAGTGTGTCTATGCTGAATTTGTTTTTGTGGTTTCCCGTCAGCAAATCATGATCGATGATGGGAATAACGATTTTGATAATATACTGACATCCTGTAAATCACTGAAATCCATGTTTAAAGCCTCTCTGGTCCTGACTAGTTAAATTAATTTAATGTAACAATGCAATAATACCGAAGCGTCTCCTCATCTGGTGCATTTTTTTTCTTCATTTTTTATTATTTTATTTTAGGTTTGTTTGTTTTTTCCATGATGTAGAACCAATATCTGCACATCAATTTGATGCTCGAAATTTCAAACTGTTGAATTAGATTAATTTGATGTTTCTAAATGTTTTGAAGTGAAGGAAGCTACTTTTAGGGACTCCTGTAGGTTTTATATTTGTAATACTTTACCATCCTGACTTTTTATGGAGAATCTAGAGTTTTGTACATAAAGGTGTGGAAGAAGTGGCCATGCAGACTGTATAAGAGTGTACAAAACATATTTTTGTTTATTAAATATGTCAAAATAGAAACATTACAAAAATGGTTCCTGGTAAGGTTTTTTTCCCCTCACGTTTAAAAAGAATAATTAGTTTTTATTGATCATGTTTTTCACAGAAGTTGTGAGGAATTCACTCCAATTGTCAACCCACGTTAATGCTCACACTGGTGCTTGAAAAGCCTAGGAAATGTTGTATTTTATTTTGGGATTTTCAAGGTTTTAAAAGTGCTTTAGTTTAAAATATAAACTTGAAAGTGAGACAGAAATTTGCTGTAGCAATATCAAAATAAAGAAGTAAAATCATTGTATGTAAAAATGTCCAGAGAAAAACATTCTGGTGATGTTCAGGCAGGATGTTTCTGTTCATCTGAATGTAGATTATATTATAAAATCAATAAAAACCAGGTGAAACATCTGTGAAAGGTCAGCGTGTCAAGTGCCTGCACATTTTTATGTGTATTTAGCTTTTATTTACTTTTTTTAAATAATTCTACAGGGTATGATTAAAATCTGCTCTTAAGTGTCAACCAGCTAGCTTAAGGATTAAGTATCACCTTTGTTTATTTTAAATGTACATTTCTACTGTTGTAAAATTATTTTCATCATCTCAGATTTCAATTGCAAAGTAAAAAGTTTTTATCATTAAATAAAACAGCTTTACACGTGGGAATTGGGTTTTACACAGGATTTAGAATGGATTGAAAATTAAAATAAGTTGATTAAATTTTAAAATCTGTTAGAAAATTTTTAATTTTATTCAGGATTTTTATGACATTTTCTACATTTTTTTTTCAATGCTTTATTTTTAATCCTTCAAATCCTGAACTTGTAAAATATAATAAATATAAAAACTTATTACAATGGAACTATTTTCAAGTCTTTATGTAACAATTTATTATAAATTGTATTTTATTTATTATTCATTGTAGTATATTTTATTATCTCAGTAAACAAAATTGGCCCTTGCTGGCTCCACCAGGGAGCAGCTGACATGTAGTAGGGCTGGATATGGCAGCTTTTCTGATCAAAATACTAATTCTGATGCTCCCTCTGGAGGCTTTAATGCTTAATGGTTTAATTTAAGTTTAATAATTTGCGTCAGTGGTTCATAATCCTGGTCCTGGAGGGCCAGTGTCCAGCACCTTTTAGCTGTAACCCTGCTTCAACACTCCTGATCCACAGCATTTAACAGGCTTCTGCAGAGCTTGATGAGCTGCTGAACAGGTGACACATCTTAATCTGAAAAATATTCTGTGAGCTCCTGTTAACCAGGTTTCTTCTTATGTTCATCTTTTTTTTTTCTCAATTTCCTCTTGTGTGTGTTCAGTGTGTCAGAAAACTTTAGCAACTTTAAGTTTTATGATCAGATTCTGAGAGGTAAAAGTCTCTTTGGAAAGCAGAAGTCCAGCAGGTGACCATTAGTGTAGTAAAACGTTATTAGTTTATGATCATTTATAAAAATCCATCAGCTCAGAAGGAATCATTGCAGGCCCTTACACCCAGTAGATCCTCCACCAGGGGGCAGTAGACTTGTATGGGACTGGGTAGACAGGTTTGTGATGAAGGTACTAATCCTGATGCTCCATCTGGATGTTTTAAGCCTTTAAGGTGTGATGTTAATTCAAGGACAGTAATCTACAGAGTGTTATTGTCATGAATAGCTATGAGTTATGCTGAGTCAGTAAACATTTTAGAATTGTAGGCTGGCATTTTATTGAGAAGACTAACAGACAGGTAAAACTTTTAAAACATGCATAAAGATTAAAAACACATTAAATGGTTTCTAAAACATCCATGTGGTTAAGCACAAATCTGAGGATTAGATTAATTAGTATTTCTTGTAATTATATTGATGAAATACATTTGAATATTTTCATTAATGATTTTTTCTCATTTGTTATCAACTCAGCTGTCTCCTTGCTTCTTTGCTCTTGTCCCTTCTCAGGCGGCGTCTGGGCTTCCCACCGCCAGCTGGAAGCTTCATCTGCTGCTCGAAGGTTTCCTCCAGCAGCGTGCCTCCCCTGATGGAGAAGCTGATGTAGGACCAGTTCAGCACAGATCCCTGGTATGGCCTGGAAACAAGAAATATGCTGGAGATCCTGACAGGTTTTTCCCATGTTATCATGATCCAGTCATGTTCTGCGTCTGTCTGCAGCTCTGGCCACGCCCACCCATGCTGTCTCTCTGTACTCCTGATACCCTCCACCTGTCTGACGCAATTTAAAATCCATGCCTCCTCTGTTCCAGAGCCAGATTGTGTTTTTGACTGTTCACAGCTCTCTATGTTCATCCTTTTTCCACTTTGCACTACCGATTTACAAAAACTTTCAGTTTTTGATGTTATATAATCATCACACACACACACACACACACACACACAAACAAGTGTCATACCCATAGAAACCAGCGCTTGTGTAGTACAGGACTTCTTTATAACGAAGAGGATAATCCCACACCTGGACGTCGGTCACCTGACCTTCAAAATCTGAGAAATCAATCACAGGTTCACCTGACCATGTATACTGAACACACACACACACACACACACACACACACACACACACACACACACACACACACACACACACACACACACACACACACACACACACACACACACACAAATTAACACATTATTTAACAATATCTTTCTTTTCATCATCCTGCTCAAAGCTACAAACAACCAGACAAAAGTGAATGAAACAGAACTTTATAGTGTTATCATTTTACAGTTTTCCAGTTATTCTGCATTTGCTTTAAATGCTTTACAGTGTGAAATAAATAAATAGCTCTGAAAAAGCACAACAATAAACAAGTAAATGTCTAATGAATGAACTGTGTCATTTCATCACCTGAGTAGGCAGCAGCTTCCTGGGGCTCATGTCAGAGTTTCTGAACATTTGAGCCACTTTCTTCACGGTATCCACGGTGAAGCAGATGCTCGTCCACATGTTCTGTCTTGAGTCTGACCAGAGCCGGATGCGGGGATACAGATTGATGTTGTTGTAGCCGTTGAACGTCAGAGTAAAGCCCTGTCCATCAGAGTACAGCCTCAGGGAGCTGCTGGATGGACTCAGGGTGAAGTAAGAGAATCTATCAAAGTCAGAGATGTACCGCAGACACACGGACACACCTGGAGATTCCACGAGAAGACAGGTGGATCAAAAACAATATACTAGTGAAAAACATAAAATTCTAATAGATATTCTGGCCTTAAAAATAAAAAGCATAAACACAATATTTAGTCTCAGCGGTCAAGTGTATACCTCTAGTGGTTGGAGCTGTGGTCCATGGAGTGTAGGGATGGGTGGTGATGTGGGGACGGGTGTTGGTGGTGTAGGGACGGGTGTTGGTGGTGTAGGGACGGGTGGTGGTGTAGGGATGGGTGTTGGTGGTGTAGGGACGGGTGGTGGTGTAGGGACGGGTGTTGGTGGTGTAGGGACGGGTGTTGGTGGTGTAAGGACGGGTGGTGGTGTGTGGTGTAGTAGAGAACCAGGGGGGAGGCATATAGGGTGAAAAGAGACGTAGTCCAGCATAACCAGACAAAGTGAACATCTTCCCATTCAGATTCAGCCCAGAACCGTCTGAGGAACCAAACAAAAACACAAACATTTATTATTCAGATCCATGGTTAAAGTAATGACTGTAGTGATAGATTTGATTAATGATTTTTCATTAATACTGTGCTGAACGAAGTATTCTGTGATTTGCAAACAGTATTTTTCTTTTAGCTGATCCAAGGTCTGAGAAAACTATACACTGAAGTTTCCCAGTCTACTTCCTGGTTTCAGTCACACTTCCTTTCCCTTCAGATGTAGATAAGACCACAGATGGAGAAGTTGGAGGGGGAGCTAGTCAATCTGCAGGACACACTCGCTGGAAACGGGATGTTTCGTGCATCTGTGTTCCTCATTTCGTTTTGCAGTAAGTATCAAAACAGAAACTTTTTCTCAATGTTTAATAAAATTCCACAACAATGGATTAAAATCTGAGCAGATCACAGCTTCTCAACCTTAAACTTGGTTCTTCTCTTCTGGGGAAACTTAACACTTTTAGGAGACAGTTGGATTTTTGCAAGAAGCATCTTCATCATTTTCTGAACTTTTTTCTCTTGTCTTAAAGTCTTAAACCTTGTTATGCTTTTGTTTTTTGCATCAGAAACTATAAGAGTTCCGTAGTTTATTATTTATGATGGTTAAAAATAACCACTTAAATACATGTCACCTAACCTATTTAGAAGTCCCTAAAACAGAACAACCACTAAAATCTCCCCATGCCTAACAATGATTTGTTATGATGTTTTCTTTAAGATGTTTTCAGCAGCTCCACCTCATGGAGCAAAAGAAAACAGTAAATGTATTAGTGTTTATTTATTTACATAAAATAAAAAAAAAATGCTTCTAAGGGAAAACAGGTGAGATGCTGTATTAATCCTACTTCCTTTTCTTAAATAAATAAATAAATAAATAAATAAATAAATAAATAAATAAATAAATAAAAGACCAAACAGTATTTTTGAAAAGGTGAAACATTTGAAGTTCATTTCTCACCTGGTGTGGATGCACAGTTTGTGGCGACCATCATGATGAAGAGAGGCAGCTTCATCTTCACCAGGTTCTCCAGTGTGTCCATTCTGTGTGTCCAAAAGTTTCTGTTTCTGCTGTTTTTCTACTTCAAGCACCTGCAGCCACATAAGTTTCCTTTCAGAACTTCCTGTTTACCCTTCAGGGAGCAGCTGCACCATCAGACATAGCAGGAGGCGGAGCTTTAGTTAAATTCAAACACATTTTATACAAGCATGTTTTATAAGATTTAGTTCATTTCATCAGATGTTTCACTGATTTGAAAGTTTAAATGTTTTCTTTATTTTGATATTTTTTATATTTTTTCAGCTTTTGTTTATTTTTTATAGTTTGTTAGTAGCTATAACTTAGTTAAGTTGCACACATTTGTTCATTTAGCCTCATCTTTGCTTTGATTTGTGTCTTCTCATACAAATACTTGATAAGGGTTGATAAGTTTTTGTGTTTATTCTGTGTTTTATATTACTGATTAAATCTGTAGCCGATTATTTTTTGGATTGGGTGTTTCTTCATGTTTCACCCTTTGACTCAGATGTTCTTGTGTCACTTGCCTGTATTTGTTTTAAAAGGTTTCCTACATGTTTTCAGGAAAACAAAATACTCACTAAGTAATTTGTGATAAACCATGTACGCCTTTCATTTATTTCCTTTGTTTGTGTAATTTAACCCTACAGACCATCATCACAAATTCCCATTAAACCACTTCTGGCTTTAGATTACCCAGATGAGCTATCAGGATTTGTACCTTCAGCACAAACCTGCCTTACTCACCTCTATACATGTCTACCGCCCTCTAGTGGAAGGTCTACGGGTGACAAGGACCTTCTGTATTTCATTATTACTGTGTTATTCTAATAGGATTACATCATGATGTAAAACTGAGTGTTTTATTAACATTAGACAGTATAGTTCAGTTTTAAAAACTAAAATTATTTTCAGATTTCAGGCTTTAAGGGGTTAAAGGTCATGAAATAAGCAGACAAAGTTGTCCTTTCTGCTCTGGTGTGATTAAATACGTGGAGAAAAACAACTCAGCTGGAGTGAAGGTCACATGATTCCTCAGTGGAAAATTTCTGAGAGCAGGTTGATCCTGTCAGCACTATAGTTATTTCATGTAGAAAAGTTATTTTTAAAAATTAGTTCTTATTTTTGAACAAATTTGTCAGAATGAATAAAGAAATATCCTTTTTGTGCATCTAAACACACAAAAATGTATTTTCTTTATTTAGTTTTAAACCAGTCTGTGCAGCTTGTCTTTCTCTGTGAACTTTATACTAATAAATTACACAACAGTTCATCTCTGACTCAGTCTGAACATAAATCACTTCCTCCTGCAGCAGGGGAACTGAAATAGTTACCAAAATAAAGGACTACAGTGTGGTGTTTTGTGTGTGGTGATCTTACTTTATTAGCTACTTCTAATCATCTCAGTATTGGGCCCAATTTTACCAATTACCAGATTTATAAATTAAAAATAAAAATCACAAGTACAGTCGATCATATGAAAGTAAATAATTAACTTTGGCTATTTGACAAATATTTACCTCTTTTAAAACTTTTTTAACATTAAAGTGACCTTTTTAACAACTGCTAAGCATTTTTCAGTAATTCCTTAATTTGAGAAGTTGATCTAAGCTTTGAAACACAGATAAGACTAAATCCCTTCTGAAAAATTGAAAAGATCATTAGGTTTTCAGTATGAAATTGTCATAGAACAATATGACATTAATGTAAAAAAAGGTGTTCTTCCGATTCCTTTGTTAATTTAGGATTTTTCTCTACTTCTTTTTATGTCTGCTGATGAACACTAACAGCTTTCTATTTTAGATACAGCTAGTTTAAGCTTTGTATGAAAAGTGCTTTATGAATAAAGTTTTGACTGACTGAATGGTATCATCTGCATCAAATGGCACAATTCAGGGGTCTCATGTCCAGACAAGATCTAGAGAAACTCATTCATGCGTTCATTTCCAGCAGGCTGGACTATTGCAATGGTCTTTTGACTGGTCTTCCCAAAACAGCTGTGAAGCAACTGCAGCTTATTCAGAATGCTGCTGCTAGAGTCTTAACAAGAATCAACAGAGCAAGCACATCACTCCTGTTCTTAAATCTCCACACTGGTTACCAGTAAACTACAGAATATATTTCAAAGTACTTCTACTAGTTTATAAATCACTCAGTAGCATGGGGCCAGAAAAAATATCAGATCTCCTTCAAGTATATATACCCAGCAGGGCTGTGAGATCCTCAGGAATTGGTAATCTGGTAGAACCCTGGGTCAGAACCAAACAGGGTGATGCTGCTTTTAGCTACTATGCTGCTCACAGATGGAATCAGCTTCCTCATGACCTTAACTTTGCCCCAACATAAAAACTTTTAATCCAAAATTAAAAACCTTCATGTTTTCATCAGCCTTTGAATAAATGTTCTTATGCTGCACCTTCTGCACTGCATTTGCTCACCTTTTAATCTTTAACCTTTTGTTTCTTTTTAATTTTTAAACAGTATTTTCTCTCATGTTGATTTTAATGTTCTTGCTAATGGAAAGCACGTTGAATTGCCTCTGTGTATGAAATGTGCTACATAAATAAAGCTGCCTGGTTAGTTGACTATATGAACGTTGATACTTTTATTTTGAAATCCGTAAAAACGGAAATAAAGTAAAAGCAATTTCTGGTGTCGTTAGCAGTGTTTTCGTTTCAGCCGCCACCGTGTACCGTGTTGACAACTACCTGGATGACAGCATGGAGAACACCGAGACAAACAGCCCCCCACCGCCGTTGCTTTTCTACTATAAAACAGGAACGCGCGGCGGGCAGAGACACCCGAACCGAGACCCAGCTGAGACAAACGGAACCTTCTCTACCTGGGAACCTGAGACTCCTGGATGTTAGCTAGCTGAACCGTCATGGGCGTCATCATCTCTCATGTTTTCTCCAGATTCGTCTCTAAGACCCCCGTTAGGATTTTAATGGGTGAGATTTTTATTGATCTTCTTTATCTAGTCGATTTTTCTACCTAAAACTAACTAGTTAATAGGAAAATAGTAGTTTATATTGTTATTATTATTATTATTATTATTATTATTATTATTATTATGTGGTGTAAGGGCAGGCATCATTAATAATTAATGTTTAAACAATAATTCTGCCCTGTCTTTTGGGTCCTATCCTCGGTTTGTTCCGTTCTTATCTGGCAAATAGGTCTTTAGTGAGTGTATTGGTGACTGCCTTTCCCTGCATTCCGTTAACCAGGGGGGTACCGCAGGGTTCTGTCTTGGGGCCCCTTCTGTTCCCCATCTATCTTCTCTCTTTGGGGCAGATTTTCAAACAGCATGGCATAGGCTACCATATTTACGCCGATTACTGTCAGGTATACGTAGCAATGAATGGATTAAACACAGATTTAATAATCAAGAACTGTCTCTATGATGTGATGGGGTGGCTGGCAGCCAATTTCCTTAAAATTAATGAGTCGAAGACTGAGGCCATTCTTTTTGACACCAAAAACCAGTCTCGCACCTCTAGGATACCGAGTTTGGACCTCAAGAGGTGTGTTAACCAGCCTTGAAGTGAAATTGGATGCAGGGTTCACAATGGTCCCGCAGATCAATTTAGTTGTAAGGTTGTGTTTCTTTCAACTTCGTCTTTTAGCTCGCCCAAAGCGAATTTTAAAAAGGTTGCAGTTGGAGTCCATGAGACATGCCTTTATCACCTCTCACCTTCATTATACAAACTCGCCATTAGTTGCGACTTTGGCCCTGAATTGTTTGCAGATTGTGCAGAACACTGCATGATTTTTAACAAACACAGGCAGACATAGCCACATGACCCCAGTTTTGGTGCACCTTCATTGGCTACCCGTTGCGTTTAGGATAAAAATTAAGAATTTGGTTTTTGCTTACACAGCTTTGAATGGTCTGGCACCTGCGTACTTGTCAGACCTTCTCATGCCCAATGTGCCAGTGCGCTTGCTATGGTCAGCTGACCGCCTGCTACTCTGCACTCCGACAATGCACTACAAGAAACGGGGGGAGCGAGCCTTCGTTTATGTACCTCCCGCTCTCTGGGGTGCACTCGCTGCACTCACTGTCAGTCAGTCACCATCCCTTGGTGTCTTCAAGTCACAGCTGAAGACACATTTCTACAATTTGGCTTTTAGATTGTGATTTTTTTAAAACTTGTTCATTGTGTGTTTTGCTGCTTTTATCTGTTTTTACTGACTGTTTTATTGGTGTTTTGATGTGCTTGTTTTTATGTTGGGAGGTGCTATGGTCAGCTCCCATGCTGTTTTTAAATGTGCCCTCTAAATAAAATTGGTATAGTAATTAATTTACCTTTTTATCTTACAAATATTTATATAAACATATTTTAATAACAAATTTTACTTTAAAGAGCTCCAGAAAGATAGTTATTGATCAAGATCATTATGAAATAATATTTTCCATTAACTAAATGCCTTATATGTTTACTTTTTTTCAAATTTTCCACCTATACTTTACATTTGAAAAGTCATTTTTTTATCTGTGTCTCTTTGGGGTTTCTGTTGACATGTGGATTGTGCGTCAGCCTTTTAGTTGTGTTAATTTGTGTGTTTGTTGCTGCAGTGGGTCTTGACGCAGCAGGCAAAACGACTCTCCTGTACAAATTGAAGCTGGCAGAGGTCGTCACCACTATCCCAACTATCGGTGAGTTTCTGTAACCTTCCTCAGATTTGTGATTATTAAATTCACAATTCTATAAGATGGAACCACGAATGTGTTTGTGTGGTCAGGGTTCAACGTGGAGACTGTGGAGTTTAAGAACATCAGTTTCACAGTTTGGGACGTTGGTGGTCAGACCATCATCAGACCTCTGTGGAGACATTATTACACCAACACACAGGTATGAAATTTCAAATTAAAATGCTTGTTGATGGAGGTCGGTCAGTTTTGGTTACTCTGGTGTGTTTATATTTAAAATATTCACAAAATATTGATTATATGTTTTTTTAAATGTATGTTTTTCTTCAGGGTTTGATTTTTGTGGTGGACAGCAACGACCCAGAGAGGATTAAAGAAGCTGCTGATGAGCTGCACAGGATGGTGAGGAACTCTTTCTACTAAATTCACATTTTTCTGTTTGGACATTTAAACATTTTTTATTTTAAATACATTTTCCAAAATGAATATTTTTCAAATCTCAATTTTTGAGTTTTTTTGTGAACCTAAACATGAACAAAGTCAGCTCAGTAAAGATTATGTTGCTGAAGTCTGCATTAGTTTTTTTTATTGTTGACCTACATTTATCATTACTCTTCAGCTGTAGGTGCATGTACTTGATATGGTATTTGTGTTATCGCCACCTGCTGACCAGGTGTGGTTACTTCAGCATTTGTTGAATATGTGAGATTTTGTTTTAAAAAAAAAAAATCAAAAACAAAATGAGAATCCGCATACTTCAATCTGCGATATAGGAGTTTATTGGTCAAGCTTTTGGTCAGAGATCTTCATCAGGAATTGACAACACGAGACAATTCCTGATGAAGGTCTCTGACCAAAAGCTTGACCAATAAACTCCTACATCGCAGATTGAAGTGTGCGGATTCTCATTTTGTTTATTCCACTTTTTGATCCAGCACCTTTTCCCAGATGAGCGGGGACTCCTTCTACTCAGTTTTTTTTTAAACAAAGTTATATGTGTTGTCATGTAGGAGGCCTTAGACTAGAATCAACTTTACTATTAAGATTGTATTCCTACAAGATAAATAAAATGATGAAGAAAATAAATCCTATTTTGTGACTTTGTTTTTGTGTGTTGCAGCTGGAGGAGGACGAGCTGACGGGGGTTCCTGTTCTGGTTTTCGCTAACAAACAGGATTTGCCTAGAGCCATGTCCATCAGTGACATCACAGATGCTCTGAGCCTATCAGGAGTCCCGCATCAGGTACGTAAAAACTGATGGTCGTCGTAGATGTTCTAAAGAAGCCTGATGTGGAGATGTGTTTGTTGAAAGATTTTTACAGTACATATAAAACAGAACTACAAACATGTCCTCCAGTGAGACTCACTGATGTATTTTTGTCCATTGGTGTGTCTGTGCAGTGGTTTGTCCAACCCTCCTGTGCCGTCAGAGGGAACGGACTGGTGGAAGGTCTGGACTGGCTCTCCAACCAAATCCTAAAGAGGTAGCAGCTGAGGTTCTGATTTACGTTGCTCAGGATGAGTCTTTAAACGCCTCGTTGTCCACGAATCCGGAAGGAGCCCAAACACTCACCTGAGCAGTTAGAAGGAAACCATGTGGGGAAAATGGTGAAGATATACTGCAGGGGTTTCTTACTTTATGATTTGTTGCTGTAACAGTACTTTAAGTCAGATTTTAATTTTATCCTTGCTGTTTGGTTCAAAGACCTGATTTTTTTTAAAGCAATGAAATAAAAACAGGAGAAAATGAAAAAACTGGACTTTTTTATGTACCATAACTGTCTTTGTGTCTGAGGCGTTATTTTAATTTCTTTTGTGTGTGTGTATTTGTCTTTCATTTTCTTTCTTAATGCATCAGGTTGAACTTTTATGAAAATGTGTATTTATTGTAAAAATGTTCAAATATTTTATAATAAAGTGGTTATTATGGTCAGATGTTTGATTTATTTTGAAAGAATGATGTTAAATTTAAACCTCAATGACTCTTAAATGGAGGTGGGGCTTGAATTGTAAAATAACATTGCTGTTAAAGTGGATTCCATATATACACGATGTTTGAAAGAGGTCAAAACATTCTAATTACCGTTTATTTTGATTTTATAAGTGACTGATTTTGACACTCTTGCTGATGTTGAATATCACATCTCAGTAGTTTTCAAACTGTTACAGCGAGTGGTCCAGGTGCTGAAACGAAACAGACAAGCAGCCTCAGAACATCAAGCTACCACCACCGTGCTTGAATGTTGGTGTGATGTTTTAAATGGTACGGTTGAATCCAGATGGAACGGGACACGGAGGAACACCACCCAGAAAGTCTTCAGGATGAAGATGTTCTGTGTAAAAGAAATGCACGACTTTGGGTTGTTTTTGATCTTTTAGCCTGGTTTCAGATCGGTTCTGTAGAAGGGACAGCTGCAGGTGCAGTCTAGGTGTAGCTGGTGACACAGGATTTATCTTTATGATCTGCTTCATCACATTTAATTCATTATTTAAAAAGGACAACTTAATTTTTGCATAACAACAATGTATATGATCCTTTTTTAAATACACGCCCACTAAACAACTTCTGAAGTCCCTGTTTAAGAAAACGTTTAACACAAAAAATCAGCTGGTTTAAGTTAATGTTTTTAATCACCAAAGCCTTTTATTAATCATGACACTGGAACATCAATCACAAACATATTTACACCATCAATCCCATTTCCTACATCAGTAAAGTGCAGCTCCATCACTTTTACACCTGCTTACAGCACGTAACCCCCCCCCCCACAAAAAAAAAAACCAGCAACAAAAATAACAAACCAGCTAATCTTTACGCTTTTAAAACAATCTGTGGCTTTAAATTAGCTGAGAACATTTTTAAGTTTCTGATTAAAAAAAATAAGCATATTAGTTTGTTTTTCTACATATAATCTCCAAAAACCACCAGGGAGAGGCTAATTAGTTAATGAGACATTAGAAAAACATTAAACAATAATCTCATGTGAACAAACCAGATTATGGCATCAACAGGAACTCACAGGACTATTCCGTTGTTTTAACACTGGATATAGTTGAGTCGTTCTTCAAAATGTTGACAGAAAAAAAAGGACTTCGAAATAAACTTGTGGTTGTTTCACACCTCAGAGCAGCTTCTGACAGAACATGATCACCAATTAACATCTGTAATGACAAATTAAAAGCAGACGAAAACTTAAAAGGATAAAGTTTTTATAAGAAATTATATCTGCAATGATAAAAATGGGATTTATTTTAAGTCTGATAATTGTATTCTTGTCAGATTCCAACTTGTAACTTTTCTCAAGCAAACATAGCCGCTCAGGTGTGATCTTCCTGTAAACAATCCTCTTCAGTGCCTAGTTTTAAAACATTTTGGATGAATCTGTAGATTTCGGCCTTTTCTCGTTGTTCCTTCTACTCGTTTTAACAGCCAGTCTGAACATGGCGAGTTATTTATCAGCATCAGAAATGTTTCTGTTTATGAGTAACTAAATTTAGAAATGTAAACACAGATGCAGTCTCTGGAGCTTCTGTTATTCCTCAGCGGGCTTTTTTGTAATAAAATAGATTTTTTATTTATCTCTTGACATGAATCACAAAAACACTCAGATAAGATGCTCAAACCTGAAAAAAACAAACATCAAATTTGTTTAAAAGGTTTTACTTCTTAAATTTTCTTTCTGGGTGTTTCACAAGAAAGTAAAGTTTAGTGTAAAGAGATAAGATCTAAAAAAAAAAAACTCTTTAACAAACACATTTTATTCTCAAAAAATATTCTGTGAGCTCCTTGTTAGGTTTCTTTCATTTCCACTCGTGTGTTTGATAAGTCAGAAAACCTTAGCAACTAAGTGGTTTTATAAACAAATTCTGAAGGTTCAAACAAAAATATACACTAAAATAAACAAAAATGTAACTTATAGGTTACAACCAGAGAAAAAGTTGTGGCAGTGAGGCAGGGTGGAAGGTAAAATGTCAGCGTGAAATATAAAAGACAAAAACCCGTCTGTGAAAACTTAAATGTGTGAATTTGTGCCTGAAACTTCAACAGGAAGAAGAAGGAGCAAGATTTTCACACTTCAGTGTCTAAAACCAAGAGACAATGAAGATTTTGTTAGAAACATTCTGATTATTTTACTCATCAGTGTGGATGTTTCCTAATGAGGTTTAACTCAAATGTAAAATAAAAAAGGGAAGCTAATGACGACATCATCAGGACCAAAGCTCATCCTCAGAAGTTATGACAGGAAGGCCTCTTCAAAATAAAACTTCAGATAATTTCTCCCGCCACTCCGCGGGATCTTGGTGGTTCCGTAGCTTTCTGCTGAAGTGCCTTTGAGCAAGAGCTGATGCTATTCAAACCACCTCCTCCCATTTCCCTCCTACTTGTTTGACTATTCTCCATTATTTTGTTAGTAGTTAATACAAAATAAACAAAAAACAGAAACTGCTGAATTAAAATATTTTTGTTTTTGTTGTGAAGTTGGTATAAAAGCAGCATTTATTTTTTGCACAAAAAAAAAGCATGTCCTTGTTTCTTCCTCTTACAGTGAGGGTGCATTAGGTTTAGCCTCCATCACAAACTGCAGAGTCCAGCAGAGACAGCAGAGCAGCCTTTGTTATTCCCAGTCAGCCCGAGCGAGCTGGTTATCCCATTCCTGAGCTGCTATCTCGCTTGAGAGCCAAAAACTCAAAATCCTCTTGGAGTCGTTAGGCTTCGGACTCACCCCTCTTCTTCCCCTCCTCCCCGGGGTCGCTCTCCTCTGATTGGCTGCTGCTGAGAACCAAAAACTGTCCATCAGAAGCAGGGGGGTTTGCAGGACGACTTGAGGCGGCAATCAGGCGACTCTGCTCCTCTAGATCCTGCGGGCCAGACAAAGATGATAAACATGTTCTCCTCATGACCTCCTCATGAGCAGTTTTAGTCTGAACGTCACCTTTTCTATTTGTCTTTGCTTGCTGAGTTCTTCCTTTTGTTTCTCTTTGGCCTTGTCTTGCTCCTTCTTCTTCTCCACTGCTTTACGGTCCTACACGACAACAAAAACAACACCTCCTCAATAAACACGCATCGCTGAGGAGCACCCGCTGGATTTCACAGTAAGAAGCTCCGACTGGGCCTCACCATCTCTGAGTGGAAGGCGATCTGTGTGGCCAAACCGATGCTGTCACAGATCTGAAACGTGTGAGAAACAAAGATGGGTCAGACACATACGTAACGCTGAGTCAGACCGAGTCAAACAGAAACACAACCTTCTCTCCATCGTTGTTGGACTCGAAGATGTAGCAGACGGCTCGACCGTCACCCCGCTCGCCCGCCGCCTGCAGAACAAAACCAAACAGCCTCTTGTTGTCCTGATGGGACGAACACTGGACCACGCTGGACAGCGGGAACTACAGCAGGACAGAAAATACAGTCGGCAAAGACACAATGGATGGGGAAGCCTTTGAATATGAAACCTAGTATGATCTTACCCTGAGTCGGGTGACCTGAGTCTGAGGATCGATCAGTCTGAAAAACATAAACAGCTGTTTACTTTGGAGGATAAAACCAGTTAGCACTGGGAAACTGTGAATGAATTAGGCTGATAAAGTAAAATAACCTCTAGGGGGTGCTGGTGGAGCCAAAGAGTTCTGATTTCAAGTTCAAAATAGTCACACTTGTGTTAATTAACACATTAAAGCTAATGGAGCTGTGGTTCCTACTTGAGGCAGTCGCAGGTGACCAGCAGGTGTGACTCGGTCATCCTGAAGATGTTGTGGATTGCCCTCGCCGCCAAGATCTGCCTCATGGTCTCTGGGATGACTTCTGTTGACTCGGCAGATCTCACCTCCATGGATCCGAGGAAACGAACGATGAAGAGCTGGTGGAGAATCGAGTCTGGACCAGACACCCACCGGGTTAGTTCTAGTTTAATCTGATTAATGCTGCATTTGGGTTTTTAATGTCCACTCTAATAATCCTGATAAATATTGTATCTAATCATATCCTGCTGACAAAAAAGAACATCAGAACAGAATATACCTTCACTTTCCTCAGGCGAGTTTTCTCCCGACTCTCCAAATGGGTTACTCCTTCTGTGGACACGCACGAACCAGTCACCCTTGCATCATTCCCACCACAAAACCACAAACTAAACTCAGAACCAAACATCTGAGCCAACACCAGCTAACAAGGAAGATGCTAATTTACTAGAAATAACCTAAATGTATTAAACCCCAGACTTCCTTTCACCCACCTGCCGGGCTGCGCTGCCGTCTTGTTCTGCCCTGAGATCTCTTCGCTGACGGGGGAGATTATGTCAAACTGTATAGGCGTTTCCGGGGCAACCAGAGCATCCAGTGAGAGCACAGAAAGAGCGGGAGATGGCTCAGATCCCACAGAGCTAATGCTGCTGGCTCGGCCTGTTCGTCCTTTGCTATAACGGAGACGAAACAACTTGGATGATCTGACTGGCCACCAGGTGGCAATAGTAAGGTGGGCTTTGGCTGCTGCTCCTACCTGCAGGGCCTCATGCTCTCGTGTCGCTGTTGGAACGATGGCGAAGGCGTCACTGCTTCAAGAGCGGTTTGGTTGACTCGGGCCGCCAGCTCCTACCAAGGACAAATCAGATTAATTCAGCATCTAAGTATCTGCTAGGGCTAACTTCTATCAATACTCCCTCTAAATCGCAACCACGAACCAGCAGAAGTATGGCGGTGATCTACAGACACCCCTGATGTTATCTCTTCATGCTATTCTTGCTTATTATCACATGAATACATGAAATCTTACTCTTAAACTATAGCTAAACATGTTATTCTCATGTAAAATGTACCACATTGATGTATAAAGTGCATCAATAGAAAACGTAGCGTTCACACGTGTGGATGTTTGTTTTGCTGTTGTAGATGTAATTTCAGCCAAGTGGACACACACCTCTGCGTTTTCACTCAGGTAGATCCTCCTGGAGATGTTGTTGATGGTGGCGATCCACTGTTGGAGCAGAGATCCAGTGTGAGGAAACAACAACAATCAACACAGAGACAATGACAACAGCGAAACATCTCACCTCCTCACATTCCCTCCTGCTCTCCGCCTGCAGAGTCACCACTCTGATCCAAAGCAACGAGAAAAGATCAAACCCCAGAAATCCAAAACCTCAAAGGCAACAGAAGACACCAAGAAAACTCACTTTTTGCCATCAAAGGAAGTGACCTGAAAGCAGAACCGGCGGTCATCTGAGTCGACGGCCATGACCGAGCAGTTGTCGAGGTCTGTGACCAGTCCCCCCGCAACCTCGCCTCGACCCTGCTGCATCAGGTTCCCTCCCTGAGTGAAGAAGTATTGACGTTCCCAGGATGACGACACCAGGCCGGTCTTACTGCCACCCAAGAGCCACAACACAGTTAGACTTGTAAATAAATCGTTCACAAAGACAGAACTAAAATCCTTTAATATCATTGGTCTGATTTGTCTGTTATTGACAGAATTATTTAAAAAATTATAAGAGACATTTAAGAAATGAAAGAGTTCTTATCTATAGCAGAAAAATGACAATAATGAAATCAGAAATAAAACTGCGATCCTGCACAGAACAGGATCTAAAGTCTCCAAATACTAACAAACTGTTGCTTTGAAAGACTCTTAAATAAATGTACAAATACACTTTATCACACGATCAAATTTTTATCAATTCATATTTAACAAGGTTTAAATAGACAAAAAAAAACATTTTGCAGCTCACTCACTTGCGAATGTAGAGATATCCCTGCTTCCTAGTTAGGCTGCGGACAACAGGTGAGTGGGCGGGGTCAGGGTCGCATGGTGTATACAGAGGATCACATGACCTTTCCATCTGCTGGATGGTCTGCTGCATCTGGCCCACTTCTTCCTCCATCTCCCGACGTACACTACACACACACATATTTATTTCTGACTTTGGTTTTTATAAGAAACTTTTCTGAGAGGTTAAAGGTCAGTTGGACGCCTACTTCTGGACGCTGGTTCCTATCGTTCCCAGGAAGTCCTCCCACTGCTGGGTGAGGTTTTCTGAGCCCAGCTTAAAGAAACTGATCTGCACAGATTAAAGACACGCCAGTAGGCAGATTATTCATTCCGCCCCGCAAGTGAGCTCTCCCTATGGGTCGTGGCCTGACTACCGGTATATATAATCACATACACAGGAATCAGGATGAAATTTCACTCTTTTGCGAAAAAAAAGTTTCATAGGGAGGTAAATAAACACTCGTGTTGAATTATGGTTTCAAAACTGGTTGTTTTTTCTGACTTCTCCGGTTTAAATGAGTGTGTGTGTGTGTGTGTACCTGAGCCTGCATGTAGCCCAGCAGCGGCTCCAGCAGCGCCGTCTTCTTCTTGTACTGCAGCGTGTTCAGAGCACAGAAGTAGTGCATCATGGTCTGGTGCTGTTTCTTGCGGGAGGTGTAGAGGTCCTCCACCAACTCCGACCGCACCTGCAACAACAGCATGGTCCTCATATTTCAGGAAGACAGATAACATTATTATTTGCTGAGATAATCTTGTTTAGTAACGATAATCACGTTGCTTTCAGGTAGCTGAACCTTGGGAGAAACCTGAACCTTGAATCAAACGTGGGAAGGTCAGGAACCCCTCATCACTTCCCTCCTTTAATCCCTTTGAAATGTAGGTTTTACGTCTGTGTTGGAAGGTTTTTATAAAAACTATCTAAAAGAACTTGTTAGGCAGAAACTGAATTTGAGTGGAAGCAACACGATGGTATACGGTAACATTGAAGGGTAGGTTGGATAATTCACAAACACATAGAAATGGGTTCTATTGGCAAATAGTAAAATTTTTCTTTGAATTTTATAAAAATAACTTTAAATTCAAATAAAAGTTTATTTTTATTCTTTAAACATGCTTAAAAAGATGTTTTGTGTTAAATTCTGACAACGTGTGTAAAAACATCACTTATTTAAATGAAAACGTCAGGGAGAACACATTTATATATGTTTTTTTTATTTAAATAAATTATAAATCCAACTTCCCCACCTTTTCGTTGTCCTTCCTCTTAGACAGGCGACTGTATCGGTTAATGGCTGTGTCATGATCTGCAGTAAAAAAGTAAACACTTTCATTTCCACTTTTACCCAAATTTAGATTAAAGTCATGACTTTAGGCTCCATAAACGTGAACGCAATTACCCCATAAAGGGATAATTGGGAGAATCCCACAGACATGTTTAAACAAGAGCAGGATGACCTCAGCTGGTGAAAGTTGTTTAAACTATATTGTATAAAGTAATTCCTGTGAGGAAAATGTTGAATAATACATAGTTAAATAATTCTAAAGTAACATTTCATCCATTTATCAAAGGTGTGGAACACTGATTTATTTTATACATTTGCAGTGGTCTCTAGAAGGAATTAATACCTTGGAAGTCTTACTCTAAGGAAAAAAGCACCTGTGTGCCCTTTTCAGGAACTAGAAGTGAGCCACATCACAACTGAGCTGAACACAGCAGGATCTACAGTGGTGAGAAAAACTATTTGCCCCTTCCTGATTTCTTATTCTTTTGCATGTTTGTCACACAAAATGTTTCTGATCATCAAACACATTTAACCATTAGTCAAAGATAACACAAGTAAACACAAAATGCAGTTTTGAAATGATGGTTTTTATTATTTAGGGAGAGAACAAAATCCAAACCTTCATTGCCCTGTGTGAATAAGTAATTGTGTTAGATGGAAGTGTCCATGAATGTTTAGTGACAGTGTGACGTAGATCTGTCAGGATTTTCTAATCCTAGAGTTTCACCGTCTGTTTTCTACCAGAAGCCAAAGCAGGAGATAGGTGTAGGGGAATAATTTCATGTTCAGCCTGCATTATAATGACAAATAACCATTAAAAATGGTTTTCAGTGTTCCACACCTTTAAAGGAAACACTAAGTGGGACTATGTTTAACATAAACTGAGGTTGCCGTGTTGGATCAGTCAAAGAAGAGATGACCTCTGGGACTTCTGAGAGAGTGAGAAGACACAAACAGATGAACTCACCATCACTGGCTATCTGGAAGACTTCTTTCAGGGTCAGGATCTCTGAAGTGAAAGAAAAAATGCATAAGGGATCTTTTTCTTTTTTTTCCCTTTTTCTGCCATGTTGGCTTCTGTCTATTTTTCACAACCTTAACACAAATGATGTAACCATAGTTGTTTTTTAAATCATCTTCCAACAGTAATGTTTAAACTCCTCTATGCTTTTCCCTGATCTAATATGGAATGCAAACCAAAACACAAACCAGGTTTCTAAATCTGCCAAAAGACCTCCAGGAGCAAAAGTAGCTCCTCTGACAAGTGTGATGCTAATGCTAACATGCTAATAAAACTCAACAGTGCCTGTAGCAGGTGGCTCCTACCCTTCAGGTCTCTCTCTTTAAACTGGGTGATTGGAAACATCATCGCATCGGCAAGTTGGGTGGACAGGACGGCGTGACAGGAACTCAGCTAGAAAGAGATGCCAAGTTAGAAAAGACCAGTCTTAAAGCCAAACCGTGATGTCATGAGACACACGCTCTCTCACCTCATCAATAACTTTTGCAAACTGCTGCAGAGTGGAGCTCATCACCTCATCGTCGCCCCCAAGAGGAAAACGCTATGGACCACAGAATGATGCGATAAATAAACCGCTATGAGGCTAACAATGAATGCACAGCTGAGAAACAGTAAACTAGGACATACACGGGAGATTTGTGTGGCATAACAGTCGAGGCAGATGTCTATTCTCCTTCATCGGTAAGGCTGGACAAAGGTGTCTGACACCTAGTGTTTTGTTGGTTTTGTTCTAAAACTGTTTAGGATCAACATCAAAGTCCTGAGCAGGTTGGTGCCACTGGAAATGTTTCGTTTTCAGACTTAAAGAGTTCAAAATAAGCTGCAAAAAAATAGAAAATAAGCTCTTTTTTTTTAGCATACCCCAACACATCTCATTCCTTATAATCCAACAGAGCGAGTGAGACTTAAAGAGGCTTTTACACACCTCGGAGCCTGTGGTTTAGGACTGCAGTGCGCAGGCTGTGGTTATAAAGCTAATGTAAGAGTCCTAATGGATGGTGATGAGAGTAATGGAGTTGATGGCCTGGTTCTGGACGGTTGGTACGTTTACACATACCCAACATTAGAAAGTCCTTTTGTATCCACATGACTCATCAGACAAGACCATCTCCCACTGTTTCATCACCCAGTGTTTTCTGACACATTTGTGCAACAGAAGCTCAGAAATGCCTTCAGTCTCCATGTGCAACAGTGACCATGAGTCATTTCCATCTTCATCCCATAAACTGCAGTTGTGAAGGGGGATTTGATACAGAGATTTTACAGACATCATCACAATTATCTTAAATACGTACAATTATACTATTAATTTTCCATTTCAACAATTTGTTTAAAATTAAGAATGATGAAACAAAAATGACCAATGGTAGTTAAAAAAAACTTTTATCATAACATTTTAAGCACAGCTCTTGTATTTTTATATTATAATAATTCATGTAATTTTTATGTACTTTATTTGCGTTCAAAATTACTTTGAAAAATGCTCTACAAACAAGTTTTATTATCGGTTACCGAAGGCGTTGTCCAGCGTTATGAGTGCACTACGGTTTGGGGACCAGCAGAAAGTTTATACCTGTTTATCGTACTCCTTCAGCAGTCTGGAGGTCAGATGTGTCGCAGCACTTAGTTCATTCTGGGAAGAAAAAAAAAAGACAAGCTCGAGACACCTGATCTACATTGAAAACAACTCTGCTAATTCTAGGAACACAATTTTAAAGACAAGATAAGATTTTAACAAGATGCATGTGTATACCTGGGCATCATAAATCCTCTGCATGGCCTCATACAGCTGTGTACAGTAGTTGGCCATGGCAGCAGTGTCATCCTCAAACACCCCCAGCAAAGAGCGAGTCTACATGCAAAAAGCAGGTAACACAGGTGGAAAATATGTCCACACCTTTTGATAAAATCTAATCTGTAAAGGCCCAAGTGATCCTTAGAGTAAAAACAAAAACCTGACCTACTATCTATGCAAATCCACGACCTCACCTGCTTGCGTCCTGTCCCCAAAGTCTAACTGTAGATACAGGGTGTGTCCTAACAGTAGTAGATACTTTTTATACTCAGCAGACGCAAATGATCCAGACAGTTTTAACAAATGTATTGGCAGATGGCAGATAGAATAAACGAATATAAAAACACGATACGGTCCAAGAAGCAAGGAGCTCAATGTAAACCATTTTATGAAAACTGTGGCAGCACCCACCCAGATTTGTAGAATAAAAGATAGAAATTAGATGTATTCTACTAAGGTAGTGCCAAACATTACCGATTAGGTGTTTGGTGACTTATAACTAATTAACTGACTGATTAAAGTGAAAGCTTATTATAACTTAAAGCATGATACAATTTTTAATCACTAATGATCAAAAACACCCATATTTAGCTGATCATATATTGATGAATTTACCTGGTGGAACAAACTAAAACTTCTTTCAATGTTTCTCAAGATATGTGTCAAATCACCATGATCATCATCAACAACAACAATGCTTGTTCCAGCTGTATATCGCAAAGGCCACGCCCCAATTTGTGATGTCAACAGCAGGTGTTCTCCCGGATTTCCTGCAGGTATAGTAACACTAACACACTGCTTTTGGCAATCTCGTTCAACTATAACAAATATCTGACACTAATGTTTGACCGTGGGATTGTTGCTGCTGGATGTAGAGGAATGATTAGCAACGCGGCTAGGGAAGTAGTCATTAACGAGTTCATTTATCAAAACTTGACAGTGCAATCGCGTCTGAACTTGTATTGATAAGACATGTTAGCAAATGTAAGCCCGGCTGAATCCACCATTGCTAAAAGATCGTTAGCAGCTGTAACTTGCCTCCACTCCGCTAGATGTTGGAAAACAGTTAGCCTAGCTGGTGGCTAACGCTAGCATGCTACTGAGGACTCTGGGAAAAACAAGTTACCTGCGGGCTATCCTCCAGCGCCTCCTCCAACGGGAGCTTTTCTATCCCGGGCATAGCTGTGACTAGTGTCTTGCTAATTAGTGCGAGCAGATGGAAAAAACGCACAACAAATCGGCCTGACTACTCCCACTCAAGATTTCTGGTTCCACGAATTCACAACACCCAAAATCAGCTCCTCCCCCTGGTGCTTTTGCCCCGCCCTTTTAGTTAATATTGATTGGCTAAATGGCATTTACCTGGCTGTGATTGGCTAGTTCTTTAAATGGGTAAAGCGCCTGTGAGATCAGTGTTTTGTCCGTGAAGAACCTTTATTAGTGTTAGTATTGCTAGGCACCAGAAACAGTGATTTATTACAGTACAACAAACAGCTGGGAAAAAGCGTAGATGTATATTAATTTAATGACGTGCACGAATAGGAGGTTTCAAATATCCCCCAACCTAAAGGAACTGCCTGTGTCTTTTAGGTTCAAGATTTTGGTTCTGGTTTTCAGAGCCCTGCATGCAGCTCCCTCCTACATTGGAGAACTGATCCAACCCTACACCCCTGTGCGGGCTCTGACGAGTGGGGATCTTAATCTGTTCCTCGCACTTACTATCGCACTAGAGGTGACCGCTCATTTGAAGCTGTAGCTCCTAAGCTCTGGAATAACCTACCCCTCACTCTGCGTTCTATTGATTCTGTTGACAAGAACAAGAGTGAGCTCATTTGTTTGTTCAGGCATTCTTCTAGTTATTTTAGGGCTGTAATGTTTCCTGTGTGGTCTTGGACTTTGTTTATTGCTACTCATGATAATTAATATAATGAAATGCTTTCATTAATCTGTGCTCAATGATGAAGTTGAAATTAATATTATGATTATGATTACACTGATTGATTGCATGTTTATTTGACAAGGTCATAATCATTTGCACTCACACAAGAACAAAGTAAGGTAAAGTTAAACCCATGACACATAAATAGTCTTTTACCCAGATCAGAGCACCCGGTATCAAAGAAGGCGTGTCTCCGAGATTCTTGGTAATATTCCTCAAACTTGTCAACCTCTGGTTGGCTACACAATCATAACATGAGAACATTAAAACCAGATTACTCGGGTTTTTCCTCCAGTTCTTGAGTAAGTGTCAGACTGGCCATCTGAAAGCAACATCTCATTAACCACCAAAGCTTTTGACACATCGTCAAAACCTTTTTGCACCTGCAAAGCTGATACAACAAAACAGTTCCTGAAGAACAAGCTGATGCACAGAACAGCTGATTTGTTCAATTCCTTAAGAGTTATTCCTGAGACGCAAACTAGTTCCAACTGTCGTTACCTGGAGATGACTCTGGACAGACCTGGTTGTACGGACTTCGGTACCTGGGGGCCTCTGACCCCCCTGACATCTCGGATCCAAAAAGGGCATTTCCACTTGGGTACGTAGAACACAGTGAGATTGCGTCTGATGTGGTTTTGATAATAATCAACTTCATAGCTTAACGCAAACCAAATTCTTTTACATCCAGAACTCAGCTCTCCTAGATACGGAAGTTCTGATAACATCACATTCACATATGGGTTCATACATCACATCTAGTTCCATCCATCACAGTAAATGTAGGTTAACTTGTCATGTTTTAATTGTTGGTAAAATAAATTCTTACTTTTATAAACCTGACTCTTTTCTGAATCAAAACAAAGTGTGTACAATCCCCTAATAAATAAAGAATCCTACAATCTTCTGATTAACGCACAATAAAGACCAGGTAGGGTGATATTCTATATTTAGATAGCGTATCCCAGCTTATTGGTCATAAGTAGAGGTAATATATATATATATATATATATATATATATATATATATATATATATATATATATATATATATATAGCTCTTAAAGCACTCAATTTACCAAACCCTACAATGACAATATTGAGTTTTTGAAAACATTGAAATATTTAAAGATAATATTTCTAAAGCACACATGGATTTGTTGAGACCAGGCAGACTTACTTTTTTTAGTAGCAAAATGGATGCTCTAATCACTGTTTGCTTTGTTAAAAAACTAAAATGTTAATCATTTTATGAGCAAAACATTTGAAAAGAAATCAATAAAACTGTTAAAAATAGCTAATTTTTATGTACTTTAATTTCACATTGATTTTCACTGCAGAACATTTATTTCACATCATGTATTTTAAACCATTAAGCATTTACAGGTGGCCAATTCTTAACAGAAAATATATTTAAAAAATATAACAGGGAGGTTTTGATTGAAATACAGGGTTATAGGCTAAATACTGCCAGTATTTATGTTGGACTGCTCTATTGGAATGTCTTTAAAGTTTTATTGTGAACAGGAGAGATTTGGTGTTTCTTCTACCTTCATTTATTATTTTAACAACAATAAACCAAAGGGAGACAAATATCTTAGTTTTTTAATGTCTTATCAGGTGATAAAACGTTTGATTAAAAAATACATATGTATTTTTTTAGAATTGTTCATAAGAAAAGTGACAATGAGGTAAAATGTATTCTTATATCTACGTAAAGAAATTATATATAGCTGCAATAAGATTGAAATGTAGGTATCGCAGCCAAAACAAAACAAACAAAAAACAAACAAATAATAGTTTGAAAAACCTTAAAAACGAATATTGGTCGAGACACTTACAATTTACAGGAAATTCTGGCTGCCTTAAATTAAAATATAAAGAAATTCTAGGTTAAATTGTTTTGCACAAAACTGGTTGCAGTAAAAATAAACTTGGATCTACAAGCTGTAGTAATTTAAGTTCTAATGAGATGGTGGCATTTTAGTTCCACTGAAGATAAATGAAAACAGTTGAAGTAGTTAAATACTGTCTTAAGAGAAATGTCAAATAATGTAAAATGCTTTTTCAAGAATAGTGGGGCGAGAACCCCATCCTGAACCAGACTGCACTTGTTTATTTTCATTAGCTTGTAAGTAGTTTCTATAATGTTGTGTACTGAACTGACACTAGGTGGCAGCAAAGTACCATGTAAATAAAGATGTGTTATAACATTCTCCTGTAATAGAGAAAGGGAATGAGAATAAAAGAGAAGAGAAATCACCAGTCTGATTTTTTTCCGTGAATAAAATAAATATGTCAGGCAGGAGCGTCTCAGGATCTGTCTGAGATCTGTCTCGGTGAGATGGATAATAGCAATCCAAAGTGCTTTTTATGTGTGATCTGACAATTGATCAACCATTGCTTAAAAATTAAATACAGCTTAGCCGGTTAATTGCTGTGATCATAAAACACGTAAACGGCAGCACGCAGAAATCAAGAGGCAACGTTTTACGTGATGTTTACTTGCTGCTATGAGTAATAAGACAGAAAAAGCCACGCCAAAATAAGTTTAGGAAGCCCACTAAGAATCGTAATAAAAGCATTTAAAATAAATACCATACACAGTTGAGGAAACGTTGTTTAAGCAGCCTACCTGATATGAAGCGGTCGCTGCATAAGCGAAAACCTTTACTCTCGGGGTCCCACAGTTTCATTTTGGCCCGGTCACTAGCGCGTTTTATTACAATGATCCAACGTTTGCGGCGTTTCTTGGGGAATCCTGTAGATTCCTTATGTCGGCATGCTGGGAGAAGTGACGTCAACTCCCGGACACATGTTTGAGACTTTTATTTTGAATAACTGAAGAAAGTTCTTACTACTAATAATAACCAAAATAAAGCACATTTTAAAAACTGTTTTATTTTATTAATGCAGTCAGAACCAGTAATTCTTTTGTTAGCAGTAATACTGAAACTGAAAACCTAAAGGCTCCTAAATTAGCTGAAAATTGAACCTTTTATTATTTGTCACTCAACCTTTAGTTTCAGAGATCACGCTAAAAAGTCCTTTCAGACACACACACACACACACACCTCCTCCTGTGGTTTGCTCCTCCTCCTTCTCCTCCTCCTCTTCTTCCTCCTCTTCTCTCCTTCAGAGTTGTTCAGACTTGAGAGAGGAATGGCGTCCCCTCGGAGTTTCTTCACCTCTCTCTGCGGCTTATTTCTACTTTTTTATTTCTCTTTCGGATCTACGAGTTCAGGCAGCAGGAGGTCGAACCAGGATCGATGTGGATTCAAGGTAAAACTCACCAATCAGCTTCCTGCTTTATTATGACTGACTTACAACGTCTAAGTTGCAGCAGAAAGTCCTTCACCACAGTCTTTCTGTTCTGCTTTAAAACGAACATTTATTTTAATCTCAGTCTGGAGAAGTTGTGTTTTATTGCGTCAGTCATGCTCACCTTTCCTCCTCCCCACCTGTGCGGAGCTTAGTACCTTGATATCAGAAGTTTCTCCACAGGGTCTACTCTAAAAATCAGACTCTTGTAATTTTATATGTTGAATATTTTAATTACATGCGGAAAAATAACAGCAAAAAATATATTTACACTTAACATGTCTAAAAACAAGTGTTTGTGGTGAGTTTGCAGTGGAACCCGCACTTTAGTTGGTGCTAATTGTCTTTTCTCTTCTTGTAAAGAAAACAAGTCACTTTCCACCTATAAATAACGTGAAAAAGATGTTTTTATTACTTGTAATATTCATATTTTGCTTATATTGTGAAAATAATAAGTATATAAATATAATCCACTGAAATCTCTGTGGGATAATAAAATGCAGATGCACATTTCTCATGAATCATTTCCAACATTTGTTTTGTTTTGGGCTTTATTTGGTTTTATGGCCATGAATATCAAATGCCACTAATGCCACAAAAATGCTTTCAGGAAGCTGTATGTGTGGTTTTCCTTTGAAATTTAATTCTGCAGATTTTAAGCTTTGGGTTAAACTTTTATTTCCAACTATTTAAGTTTTTTAAATTTGGATTTAGCTGATATTTTGTTTTCTTTCATTATTAGTTCAAGTGTATTACATACTGTAGTCTTCTCAGAGAGGAGAGGAAAATAGTAAGTTAATCAAATTAATAACGTATGATGTGTTTTTTTTCTGATTAAAACAACGTGGATAGACGTGTTGATGATGCATGGTTTAGTGCCCCTTTTGGGTGTAAATTCAGGCAAATTTGTTTTTCCTGTGTTGATAGATTGCACCTACCTCGTGTGTGTGTGTGTGTGTGTGTGTGTGTGTGTGTGTGTGTGTGTGTGTGTGCGCGTGCGCGCGTGCTTGCGTGTGTGTTTTACCCTGTTTCCTCTCCCTGGCTTTGAAGTGTTTTCTACAGGAAGCTTCCCCCTGTTTACTCTGCAAAAACATTCCTTCCCGCAACACCCCCCCCCCCTACACACACACACACACACACACACACACACACACACACACACACACACACACACACACACACACACACACACACACACACACACACACACACACACACACCTCTGTCACCTCCCCCTCTCAACTGCTTCCTGTTCTTTTCAGACACACACACACACACATCAAAGCTCTGCAGGATGGGGGTCTGAGGACCCGCTCTTTTACAGGTGTGAGATTATTACAGCTTGTGGTTATGTGTGTGTGTGTGTGTGTGTGTGTGTGTGTGTGTGTGTGTGTGTGTGTGTGTGTGTGTGTGTGTGTGTTGTGGTGTCCAGGTTGTAAGTCTTTTATATTTGTTTGTTTTATCTGTTTTATTTTTAAACAAAAAATGTTTCCAAGAACTAATTTTATAGTTATTGAGATTTATAACTTTTGAATCTCAATGAGTTGTTTTAGAGCTACTTCTTATTTCTTCCTTAGCGTCTCATACTTTGTAATTTATTTAGTTGTCAATCATAAAATACAGTAGAGGCCATTTGTGACCAAAACTTCACAGACTGGTTTAAATCCAGTGTAATCATCTATGTTTATGTTTATGTATTTAGCAGACGCTTTTGTCCAAAGCGACTTACAAGTGATAATCGGCATGTTGCCCTTGAGGCTAACAACAACAATAACAACAACAACATTGACATCAATCATGGAGAGTAGGGAACAAGGAGTGGACAGTAGAGAGGGGGGACGGGTGCAGGGAGGGTGCTAGTTTAGAAGATGCTCTCTGAAGAGCAGGGTCTTCAGGAGTTTCTTGAAAATTGAAAAGGAAGCCCCTGTTCTGGTTGTGCTTGGTAGGTCATTCCACATTTGTGGAACAATGCATGAGAAGAGTCTGGATTGTCCTGAGCGTGGTGTAGGCACTGCTAGCCGACGATCCTGTGATGACCGGGGCGGCCGGGCCGAGACGTAAGCCTTTGCAAGAGGATTCAGGTAGATGGGAGCCGTACCATCTCGGACACTGTATGCTAGTGTTAGCAATTTGAATTTGATGCGTGCTGCTAGAGGTAGCCAGTGGAGCTCAATGAGCAGAGGGATGACGTGTGCTCTTTTTGGCTGATTGAAGACCAGACGCGCCGCTGCGTTCTGGACCATTTGAAGAGGTCTCACAGTACTGCCTGGAAGACCAGTTAGAAGGGCATTGCAGTAGTCGAGGCGGGAGATGACAGTAGATTGCACCAGGAGCTGGATGGCATGTTGTGTTAGGTATGGTCTGATCTTTTGTATGTTATACAGCGCAAAGCGGCATGAACGGGCATCAGAGGTAACAAGATCTTCATGATCAGGTGTTCATCAATCACAACACCCATATTTCGAACTGCCTTTGAAGGAGCCAGAGATAGGAAGTCATTTTGGATTGAGATATTGTGCTGTATGGATGGTTTTGCTGGGATGACAAGTATTTCAGTTTTAGAGAGGTTGAGTTGGAGATGGTGGGATTTCATCCATTTTGATATGACAGAGAGACAGTTTGATATTCATGCAGAGACAGTGTGGTTGTCCGGTGGAAAGGACAAATAGAGCTGGGTGTCGTCTGCATAGCAGTGGTAGGAGAAGCCATGTGATCGAATGATCTCACCCAGTGAGGTGGTGTATGTGGCAAAGAGAAGAGGTCCTAATACAGAGCCCTGGGGGACTTCTGTGGCAAGATGGTGCACGGTAGACGATTGTCCAAGCCAAGATACACTGAATGATCATCCTGTGAGGTACGATTCAAACCAGGCGTGTGCTTTCTCTGTGATGCTCATGCTAGAGAGTGTGGACATAAGGAAGCCATGGTTGACAGTGTCAAATGCAGCCGATAAGTCGAGCAGGATAAGCACTGAGGATTTGGCAGTCGCTCTAGCTTCTTTTAAGGATTCTGTCACTGCTAACAGAGCAGTTTCAGTGGAGTGGGCCTTTTTGAACCCAGATTGGTAAGGGTCAAGCAGACAGTTTAGTGAGATGTATTCTGTGATCTGCTTGAAAGCCACCCTTTCAATGATTTTGGACAGAAAATCTAAAATCTTAAATCAGCAAATACAAACAAACAAACAAACAAACAACGAAATAGCCCAAAAGCTCACAGGGAAGTTCAGTTGTTTCTTTGTCCTAATTTTCTGCTTTTGATTCGTCACCCATAAGTTGGCTCTTTGTGGATACAGATGACCACTTCTACCAGTTCCTAAAACCCTCTGTGAGCAGGACCATCAACGGAGTCTTCTCTGTTGCGTGAAAAATATAAACAAACATATTTGTAACTCAGTGTTGCTGTCAAGATAAATCTAACCAGAAAATATGCAAATATAAACAAGCCAGTCAGAAACAGTCAGATATGTGATATTTAAAGAAGAAACATGTAAATTAAAAAATGCTTCTGAAGTAAAAAAAAAAAACAAAAAACAAAAAACTAACACGAAAAAAGGAAACACACAATCCTTACATCTTTTGAAATAAAAAGCTTGTGCTCCTCTACCACAGAAGAATATAATCAATCAATCAATCAATCAATCAATCAATCAATCAAATTTTATTTGTAGAGCACCTTCCGCAACATGATCAGAAGCCCAAGGTGCTGAACTGCATCATCATAAAAACATTCCCAGTACCTGGGCATAAAAGCAAGATAAAAACATAAAATCATAAAATATCAAGCAAGCAATATTACAAATACAGAGAGATGACGGAATAAGACTAATCAATTAAAAACAAATGGTGGACAAAATAAAATCAAGCATCCTGGTTAAAAAGAAGAAGAACTAAAACCATAATGTCAGGGCAATTCAAAGAACCCTAGCGCTGAAAAGCAATCAATTAAAAATGAGTCTTTAGACGAGACTTAAAGACTTGAAGGGACGGTGCCTGCCTAATGCTCAATGGCAATTCATTCCACAGAGTTGGAGCCAAAACAGAAAAAGCACGATAACCCCTCGATCGATATTTTGACCGGGGGACCACCAGAAGTTCCTGCTCGGCTGAACGAAGAGACCGAGATGGAGCATACCTGTGCAAAAGTGCAGTAATGTAAGAGGGGCCACTGCCCTGGAGGGCCTTATAAACGAGAGTTAAGCTTTTAAATTTAGCTCGATATTGCACCGGGAGCCAGTGCAGAACATACAGCACTGGGGTAATGTGCTCTCGGTATCTAGTACCGGTCAGGAACCTAGCCACTGAGTTCTGCACAAACTGGAGCTGTGCAACCGTGCACTGGGCCGGACCAGCATACAGAGCGTTACAGTAGTCCAGACGGGACAGGACGAAAGCATGCAACACAGACTCCAGATGAGCTCTGGACAGCAGAGGCCTGATCCTGGATAGTCTTTTCAGGTTAAAAACAATTATATAAAAATACAATATAAAATATAAATCAATATATTAACAAAGAATGAAGAAGACCTGTGTGGTGGTGAGTGCTGATTCTTTTTTTATGCCTTTAAAGGTAATATGTGGTCATCTTTGATACTGCAGTCCATTTTCTAGTTGAAAACTCACTTTCTCACCGTCGTTCTGTGAGTTTCATGGCTGTTGCCAGTTATGGATAAGCGCCACAATATTCTAGATGACAAGCGAACATGAGTCATACACAGTGAGTTTATAAGTAAATAAACACATTGTCATATCTGGTGCTAGCACTCTTAAGCTGGGCAGACACTGTGCGACTTTTTCACTTGTAGCGTTCAGCTTCAGCTCAAACTGTATGACTTCCCTGCAGAGCAAGTCTCATGAGTCATCTGCTCACACTGTACGACCCATTTCTTGGATGCGACCTGACTGCTCACACCGTACTTCTGGTAGCAACACGTCAAACCTAAAAATATGCTAAAAATAGCAGTT